GGGACATGTCATCTCTGCAGAAGGTGTGCGCACGGATCCTGAAAATGTATCAGCGGTTAAATCCTGGACGCGTCCCGAAAATGTCCATCAGCTGAGAAACTTCTTAGGGCTTTGCACCTACTATAGGAGATTCATGAAGAACTTTTCTTCCATCGCAAGACCACTTCACAAGCTGACAGAGAGCAAGCAAAGATTCTTGTGGACAAAGGAATGCAAGGATGCATTTAACAACTTAAAGGAAGCTTTAACATCTGCTCCAATCCTGACGTATCCTCAGCTCGACAGACCATTTATTCTTGACACCGACGCGAGCAATGAAAGTGTCGGTGCTGTTTTGTCCCAAGAAATAGACGGCCAAGAACGTGTAGTAGCTTACTGGAGCAAGTGCCTGTCTAAACCGGAGAGGAATTACTGTGTCACAAGGAAAAAATTGCTCGCCATAGTCAAAGCTGTAGAACATTTCCATCATTATCTATACGGGAGAAAATTCCTCCTCCGCACGGACCATGCCTCATTGGCCTGGCTTTTAAATTTCAAAAATCCTGAGGGTCAAATAGCCAGGTGGATACAGAGACTCCAAGAATATGACATCACTATCCGTCATCGTAAGGGATCATCACACGGAAATGCCGACGCCCTGTCTAGAAGACCTTGCCAAGAAAGCTGCCGATATTGTTCCAGGGTGGAAGTGAAATACGAGCTGCTGACTCCGGTCGCAAGACAAATTACATTATCAACATCGGCTGATCGAGACCTGTGGAGTGATGATGAAGTCAGGAAAGACCAGCTGGAAGACCGCGACATTAAACCCATACTTGATTTAATAGAGTCATCAAACAGAAAATCTACATGGCAGGACATTTCTATCTGTTTCTAGTCCTACAACAAAACAATACTGGGCACTCTGGGATTCACTTGCACATTCGAAACGGCGTCTTATACCTGGAAATTCGAGTCGGATGATGGGAAGACGTTCCGATGGCAACTGATACTTCCAAGATCCCGGATTCCTGATGTCCTTCAAAGAACTACATAACAGCCCTACAGGAGGTCACTTTGGAATTATGAAGACCTTACAGAGAGTTTGTGAGCGCTTTTACTGGAATAATGCAAAGAATGATGTGCAAAAGTGGTGCCGATCTTGCGATGCCTGTGCAGGTCGGAAAGGACCGAGGAAACGCAGCCGAGGCAGACTGCAACGTTACAACGTAGGTGCGCCTTTTGAACGTATCGCCTTTGACATCCTGGGACCTCTGCCACGAACTGCTGATGGCAACAAATACATACTCGTTGTCATTGATTACTTCACCAAGTGGCCTGAAGCTTATCCTATTCCTGATCAAGAGGCAATCACAGTAGCTGAGGTAATGATACAGCACTGGATTTCCAGGTTCGGAGTGCCTCTTCAGTTACATTCCGATCAGGGAAGGAATTTTGCCTCGGCAGTAATCAAAGAACTATGCAAACTACTTGGCATTGACAAAACTCAAACGACACCATTGCATCCCCAGTCGGACGGCATGGTAGAGAGGTTCAATCGAACCATCCTTAATAACCTCTCATTAGTGGTTTCCAGAAACCAACAGGACTGGGACAAGAAATTACCACTCTTTTTACTGGCTTACCGCAGTGCTGTCCACGAGACTACCGGCTATTCTCCATCACAGATGCTCTTCGCTCGTGACCTTCGTCTGCCTTGTGATCTATTGTTTGGCCGCCCTCCGGATGCTCCTTCATCGTCTGAGGAATATATTCAAGATCTCCAGGCCCGGTTTGAAGTGATGCACAATTTTGCACGAGAGCGAGTCAACTTGGCGACGGAGAAGATGAAGACCCGATATGACACAAGAGCTACTGAACATCAATTCCACGAAGGAGACAAGGTGTGGTTGTGGAATCCGACTCGATGGAAAGGACTTTGTCCGAAATTACAGTCACCTTGGGATGGGCCGTACACAGTCCTGAACAGGCTGAATGACGTCGTGGTTCGGATTCGTAAGTCTTCGAACTCTAAACTTAAAGTCGTTCATTACGACAGGTTAGCTCATTACTATGGCCATAGTACATAATGTACATAATGTAAATAATTGTAAATAGTATCAGACCATGGTCCTTTTTTGTTTTTAAATGTGTATTTGATTTGTTTTGTATTTAGTATTTGAGAGTATTTGATTTGTTTAAGTTAGTTATTGCATTTATTGTTCATGTTGTTTGATATTGTAATGTAATGTTTATGCCTCAGTTGCATTTATGCCACAGTCGTAAGTTTAGCTTCCTGTCCAGGGATTGTACTGCCCGGGACGTGCAGTCCTTGGGAAGGGGGCAGTGTTACGAATTTAGTATTTAAAAAGCTAATGTTAGTTCAATTATAAATTAAATGAAAGCTAAGCCAGAAAATTGAAAATACAAGAGCGCGTGCATTAAATAAATAAATATCTCTTTTTGATTTCGAGAAAGTACTGGAAAATTCTAGCGCGTGATTTTAAAATCTTATAAAAGGAGGAAAACATCTCAGTTTGTAGCAGTTGCTTAGTTTGTTGTTGCTTAGAAAACTGCTCTTGTTGATTGTAGCGAATTTGCGGATTAGCGTTCTTTAGCTGTTTTGAATTACGTTCTATTGGATATTTGAGTAGTTAAAAGATAACTACTGTGAGATATTGTAATTCTGCATGATAATTTGAGAAAATTTAAGCATTTTTGTTGTTGTGATAATAATAAATTTTTTGTTCATTTTTCATCGGACTTGTGCATTCATTTCATAACGAACCCGTACGCACACAACAATATTTTGAATTAATAAACTTCATTTTCAATCTTTTTAGACTTCATATAATATCTGTAAAATTGACATATGAAATATACCATAAAGGCGGTACATTACATAAGTTTCTTTCAGTACATTCAGATTCTTATAATTTTTGTAAAAATAACGTGTGGAAAATAACGATAAAGAGTCAACAGTAACTTCAGCCTTTTTTATTCGTATAAATTTCGTAAAAGTAACTTACAAAAAATATCATATCCTTATTTCACCAAAATTATACGTATATTTTTGGAGACATGCTGCCTGGGAATGTTTTATAAAAGCAAATGCTCTGTAAATTTTTTTATCAATCTCCTACATTTCTTGTTGTGAACCGTATTTTCCACAATCAAATCACATCTGTGTGAATGAATGCCTTCATTAGCTGCTGGCACCCTTATGCTGGTTGTCCAGCATTCGCCAGAGAAACAATTGCAAAGGTGCTTGACATAAAGATGCTAGCATTTCTTATAAAAAATTTTGTGTTAGCAACTTAAACTTTGTAAGTATCTCTGCTTTTATGATGAAGCATCATTATACTGCTTTCCCATTACAACTAGTTGCTAATATCCAGAATAACCATATCTAGCTGCTTATATAACAGCAAGGCACCCCAGGAGAAATAATGATTGTTTTCTAGAAATATTTGTAGCCATACAGACTGTGATGCATATGACATTTAGTTGCCAGTGGATGTGCAGTGGTAAAAATTATCACTGAACATAATTGTCAAAGCGATCTCAGATATGTTTGTTTTGTTAAGCCATGATAGTAGCTGGAAACATGAAACTACTCATGAACAGTTCTGGTGATATAACATGCCACATTCTTCTACTGGTGACTATCCCACTGGTCATCTGAAAGACCATTAACATGTACTTATAGACTTGATTGTCCAGTATAGAGAGATATCCATATTGGTTGAGAGTACTTTGCATAGCTTTGAATGGACCCAGGCTATGTCAAGTACAATTCCCAAGACCGCTAATGATCATACTAGTGCAGCATGGTTACTGGTATATAACAATGGTTGATGGTATTAGTTTTTCATGGGTTCCCCCCCCCTCGATATGTCAATATCCTGTTCATCGGAGCTCTGAACTTGACTTATCAGAGAAGACAATCAGTCAATGAAAATTATGTTTTTCATTTAGTGCAAGTCCACTGTTGTTACTCATATGCGACTACTTTTGACAATCAATTCTCATGAATATAAATCAGTTAATTTACCAGGCATCTGCTTTGCATTTTCTTGTGCAACAAGGTTTGTTTCACAGTTATTTTGGACGAATATTTTGAAGCCTTTTGGATCATTTGGATTGTCTGTTGATTGTACCAATCAACCCTCATTTAGTTCTCTGAGTTTGGTGGCTCATGTTGCCCTACAATTACCATGCTGGATTATTGAAAAGATTCTTCTGTTTACAGTTGGATTGAAAGAAAGCATAGATTAACACAAATTCTATCCGAAAAGTGTATGCCTTTCAGATATATGGAAGTTTTCTGATTCATTTGCATTATAAGTTATTCTATGCAGTTTACTGATCTGTCTGCACTTACCTGTTTAGCTCTCAGTCTGAGGGCTTAGGGCAGTGGTATTCAAACTTTATAGTAGTGTGACCCCATAAAAAGGTAAATGACTCCAAAAACTAATTCACAACCCCTATCAGAGCATTGACCCTTAGTTATATACCATTCATTCAAATTTTTAGGGTCACAGCCCATAGTTTGAATACCATTGGCTTAGGGTGTTCACAATCATAGTGCTATATTATCAAAAGGCTTCAACTCTCTAAATTTAGACAAAAAAGCATTGTTATATACATATGTTTTAAATAAAACTGTCAATTTCAAGGGCTATCTGTGATATCATATTCAGGAGCCCCTCCCCAAAAAAAGTATAAATGTGAAAAAAGCAAACTGTCTGATATACAGAGTAATCATCAGTGAAGAAAGATCAAATAAATATGGTACCATCTGTTGTAGAAAATGATAATTAAATATAAACTCGGGAAGATATTAGAATTTTTAAAATATTTTTCATGTTTAATGTTTTCCTTGACAAACAGTATTGCATTTGTTCAAAGCAAATTCAAGTTAAATCATCCAGTTTTTATTTTTTAATTCATGTAATAGTTTTAGATAAAAAATTTATGATTAGAGGTTAAAAAAGTATGTACTGACCATTTTTCTTTAGGAATTGGTAATCCCTTGGCTCATGAAAATCCATTTGTTTTAACCATAAATATAATTTTTTATCGTTGGCATAACCATTTGGCTGGAATCATATGCAATAAAAAAGAAAAATGGACAGATGAACAATGCTTCAATGAAGCTAGAAAATGGGTCATTGCAACTCTTCAGGTGAGTTTGTGTATATTCAGAAAAATTCCGATCTGTTTAAAACTTTTTTTAAATATTTTCATTATGAATTTTTGAATAATTTTACCATGTTTTTTTTTTTTTTTTTTTCTTCTTCATTTTATATAGAATGTTATTGTCAATGAATGGCTTCCATCATTTTTAGGAGAGAAACTACCAGAATACATAAGTATTTGTTGATTCAATAATTTTGTGCATAACTTTGCTAAATTTTATTTTGCTGTATAAAATTAATAAAAATAAATGTTAGTGAAAATTTTTTTCAGGATATGACCCAAGTATTGATCCTAGTATCTCAAATGCTTTTCAGTCTGCAGCTATGAGATTTGGGCATACATTGGTTCCTACAGGTGTTTATAAGAGGTATTGCTCATATATATATATAAACCAATAATTTCTAAGAAAAAAAAATTTCCAAATTATAACTAATAATGTAAAATTAACTTAAAAATTCATCCTGTGCAAATTGCTGCAAAGATTCAATTAATAAGTAACGTAAGGTCAAAATAATTATATCTGAACACCATATGCAAAAAATGTAGAGTGATGATATTGCAGTTGTTAAAAATCATAAAAAGACAAAAAGAACTCATGGAGTGGAAATAAAACTAAAAATATGTATGGAAAAGCTGTATTATCATTCTTTAACTTTTACCTTGTCAAGAGGAGGTCAGCCATTTTTACTTTAAACGTAAAGTTTATTTCTACTTTATATTATTTGTATTGCATTATGTTAGACCTAATATTACTTTACGTTAGAGAAATTTGGAAACTAACCTTCATTTCACTATAAATAAATTTAAAAAATGCATAGATTCAACCAATTTTTTATTTATACCTAAAAGGTACAGCTGTCCTCTATTTTTTAACATAATCACAATGTACATTCAATAACTTGTCATAGCATTTTGCTAACGTACCAATCCCTTCTGCATAAAACATAGCTGCCTGCGACCTACTTGTCTCCATGGTTTGAAGTTCCTCATCATCAGTGAAGTGCTGTGCCACCAGCCACTTCTTAGTTGCAGGTAACAGTGATAGCAATCAGAAGGAGCTAAGTCAAGTCTGTAGGACGGGTGAAACACATCCCATAAGATTTTGTGTTCACTGAGCACTGTGAGGGCGAGTGCTATCATGCTGGAACACAACTCCATATGTCAGCAGGCTGCAACATTTGTTTTGGATGACTCTTTTTAGTTTTCTCAAAGTGTTACAGTAAATTTCAGAACTGATTCTCATACCACTTTCCATCAATTTGACAAGCAAGATTCCATTAGTATCCCAAAGCACAGTGACCATATCTTACAAATTTTGATAGGCTTTCCTCAACCAGTATGACCCCATGCCATTCACTGTTGTTTTGTCTCAGCATTCACTTGCATTACAAAAGTCTCAACACCAGTCACTGTTCTGTTCAAAAACTCCTCCCCTTCTTAATGGTACCGGGAAAGAAAGTCTGAGGCAGCACCCATTCAATTGGTTTTGTGGATTTCGGTGAGAATTTTCGGTACCCATCAAGCACAGAACTTCTGGTATCCTAATTTTCTGGTGACTGCCTCATACAAAACAGTCAGAAATTGTTGTGAAGGTTCCAAAAATGTGAATCGACAGATCTGATGGATTTTGTTGTCAATTTGCTTCATGAGATCATCACTGACTACAGATGGCCTCCCACTTTTTGATTCATCATGAATGTTTGTTCTTCCTACTTTAAAAAATCTCACCTGCTGATGCACTACACCTTTCTCATAATGTTTAAGTGGTATACGACACACAGTTCACAAAGAATGACTGCTGCTGACAGTTTTTTTTTTGGGGGGGGGGTCCAAAGAAATTGTATTACTTTTCTTACCTGACATTTGGCAGATTTTCAATTGCAATGCACATTTTGAGACATAATAACCAGCAGATATGAAGCAGTATGACAGTCTAACTATGGTACCAGGAAGCTTACTCAATCACAGATTGCTTGATGTAGCAATTGTTGCATTCTGCCCACTGCTACTAGTGCCCACCTGCAACAGAAGTTAGCTTCCGAATTGCCCTTATATATTTATGAACACCTTTGAGATTTTTCTTGTAGTAATAAAATATGAAGAATTCCCTTCTCTAACATTAATTTTCATAGTTTTAAATTTTTATTGATACTTCTTTATTTGTTGATTTTGGTTCTTACGTATTAATACAACTCCCTCAGTGGAATTTGGCAACTTTTTACAGAGGGAAAGGTACAGTTAATGGTTATTTTTTTTTTTTTTTTTTTTTTTTTATTTTTTTTTTAATTGCTGAATCATCAATATTTATCATAAAATACACTTAAGCAATTTAAAAATGAATTTATTTCTGCTGGTGTCTCTGAATTTACATAAAACTAATTTTGAATCTTCCATCATAAGACAATAAGCTGTAACAAATTTTTACATAGAGATAAATGTGCCAGTGTTGTCTGTTGACTGTAATTAAATTAAATGAGTTGTTCTTATTTGTCATGATGAATTGAAACTTCTTATTGAAATGTATTTCTTGTGGGTAGGAAAATTGCCACAGTTTAAATGAGGGGATGAAGAAAATATGTTTTCCTGTTAGAACTATCAATTTGACATACTATTTATTTTTTGAAAGAAAATTGTTTGGAACTATGCTAATAAGGATACTTTATTTATGTTTTCAGATTAAAACCTAACAAATGTGACACTTCAGTGATTCGCCTTTGTGATAGTTTCTACAATGCACAGGTAATGTTATCACGTATATATATATATAATATATTGCAAACTTCAAATAAAAGCTTTTTATGTATTTCATACTTGTTTTTCTCTTTTACTAAATTCATGGCTTGGAAATAATTAAGCAGCATTAGAAAAGCAGAAAAAAAGGCTGTCCATAGCTTGAGATAGTTCCTAACACAGCAAACAGTAGGCTTTGTTTACACAGTCTTAATAAGAATAAATTGCGTATTAGCCTCAGCACGTGTTATGAAAAATACCAAAAAATATCAGAACTACGGCGAGACTACCCGTCAACGGTTGTTCTGCACAGGTTCTTAATATGTACGTATATAAACCTTAATAATAATTAGACACAGTGAGTCTACTATTAGAATATCTGTTTACAATTTCAATATTTATAGAAAAAGAAATAAATCTTATCTACTTGAATTCTGCACGTTTCTTGACGAATAAACAGCTTTGTTAACACTTGACCTCAGTATTTTCATAGTTTCACAGTAAAGCAGGAACTAGGATATTATTCAATAAACAGAACACAAAAAATACAATATAATAATTCAATTCATATTCATATCAACATTAAATTCATAGAACACTTCTATCATTAAGCAAACACGAATTAGAACGTGCATGGCAACGCCGAAAACTGATGCCATCCATAAAGAAAGGATACATAAAACTCGCATCATTATAAAATTAATACATTAAAAGTCTCGTGTTCATTCAATAAAGTTATTCATAAAACTGTGTCGTGGATATCTTCCGAAGTTTATTGACAGCATAACGTAACATCCTCCCACCTTGATCTGCCACCTTTGAGGTAAATCAACAAAGTTCGAAAGTTCAATAGCCCAGTCTCTTAGGTATCTTGATTACTCTGCCGCTTCTTGACATCTGAGGAGCTGCTGAAACATCCTTCTGAATTGGAATGTCATTCTGTGATGTTGCTGGTGGGTCATTACTAGTATGTTGATCTGGTATAATGGGATCCCCAGAAGAATTAACTTCTAGAGGGTAATTTTTTTTGACTGGACGAACGAGATGACCAAGTGGAGTTTTGACAAGATGACTCTCACATGGCCGTCTCTCCCTGGATACAGTTCTTCAATTACTGCAAGTGGCCAATTAAAGTCTCTTCTGGTTTTCAGAACCAACAAGGATCACTTCTCCAACTTTGAAAATTTTGTCAGATGTGCCAGCTTTTGCACCAACTGACCTAAAGTATTCTTTTCCGGAATCGTCGCTTGTCTGAATTGTTTATGCAGTTCTTGGCAATAACATTCTCTCTTTACCAGTTTGTTCCTATCCAAATGATCAAGATCAGCCGTTCCAATCTCTTTTACATCTTGGAGAAAGTTGGATGGTGTTAGAGGCTTCAACTCATCTGCATCATTGGAGATGTATGTTAGCGGGTGGTTGTTAACGGTGGCTTCTGCGTCGCAAAGAATCGTGAGCAGTTCCTCATACATAACAGACGACTTACCAAGAACTCGAACAAGTAGATTTTTCACTATGCGAATTAGTCTCTCCCACCAACCGCCCCATCATGCTGCGGTTGGAGGAATGAATTTCCAGTTAATTGGATTTAGCGTTTCAAGAGCCATTATCTTTTGCCACTCAAATTGGTTCAATGCACAAGAGACACCAATAAAGTTCATGCCATTGTCACTATAGATAACTGTCGGACGGCCTCGTCGAGCGATGAATCTTCTCAACACGAGTGCACAGCAATCTGCACTTAAGGATGTCACGATCTCCAAATGTATTGCTCTGTAGACTGCGGATGTAAACAGCACCACCCAGGCTTTAGTTCTTTTCCTAAGAATAAGGGGACCACACAAGTCAATTCCGGTGACTTCGAAAGTTTGAGCGTCCCGTACTCTGTCTAAAGGTAAATGAATAGGTATGATTGAAGGTGACTTTGTTGTGAATCTCTTACAGGTAATGCATTTCTTGATTATTGATCTAATTGTTTGTCTAGCTGAAATAATCCAATATTCTTCTCTAATCATTGACATGAGCATTTGAACACAGGCATGAGAATTCTTTTTATGGTATTCAAGCACTAGACTTTGCACAATATGATGTTTTGACGGAAGCAGAATTGGATATTTAAATCCAAATTCATCATCTCTTGCGAGAATCTTTGTTTTCACTCTTATCGGTCCTATTTCATCTCTGATGACTGAAAGATTATTTATTACATCTCCAGTCTGAGAAAACCTTTTATGTTGAACTAGTAGACTCAAAGTGTTTTTTGAATCTTTTAACTCGGCTGCAGACAAGAATTTTGCTCTATTTACAGATTTTGCCTGACAGCGTGTAATAAATCTTAGAACCCTTGCTAAAATCCTTACAATTGCTGAAAATTTAGAATGTTTTCCATACCACTTAGATGTATCGGTACTCACACTAACATTTAATACTACAGTTTTCTTTCTGATTTCGGAAGAAATTAATACCTCATTGGGTTTAATTTCAAGGCGTGGCCAACTATCCTTCGGATTCTTTAACCAGTTAGGACCCTCCCACCATGAATTCTTTAGAATTTGATGAGGGGTACAACCAGGAGATGGTATATCAGCTGGATTTAACTGGCTTGGCATGTAAAACCACTGATTTTCTTCTGAAAGTGCACAAATCTCTCTGACACAATTTCCTACAAAAGTTCCCCATTCATCATTGCACTTGATCCATGACAGAGCTGTGGTGGAATCAGACCAGTAATGTTTTTAAATTTCTTCTAAGGATAATGCCTCTACAACATACTTCGCTAGACGTATTCCTAAAACACGAGCTAAAAGTTCAAGACGTGGTATTGTCATCTTTTTTAAAGGTGCAACATGAGATTTTGCGATCAGAAAATTTACACGTGTCACCATTGTTTTCGCAGCATAAGAAAATCACGGTCGCGTAAGCTCTCTGGCTCGAGTCACAAAAAACATGCAAAGTCCAAGTTTGTTTGTTTCCATATCCTGTTCTGTGGGATATTTTCAAATCTGATAAGATCTATAAATCACAGTACCATTTCAAAAATTTTTGTTTGACCTCTTCTGACAGTGGAGAATCCCAATCTGCTTTAATAGACCAAACTTCTTGAATCAATAACTTAGCCGGTAATAATACAGGAGCTAAGAACCCTAGCGGATCGAAAATCCCCTGTGTTAAAAGGACAAAATCTCTCTTTTTGACAGGTTGTCTAGATTTTGCACAGGCTTAATATGAATAGAAAGGCTATCATCCGTTCTATCCCATAGAATACCCAAGACTGAAATCTGATTCTTAGAAAGAGATTCCGAATTATCATTCCTCGAAATTTTATTAATGTTGTTTATAGGACCAAATGTCCACATCCATAGGTCCATCTTAGCTTCCGCCAAAATATCAATTGATTTATCCATAAAATATTTCGACTCTTTCTCTGTGTCAAGAGACGTGACACAATTATCAACATAAAAAAAGAATTTCGAAGCTTTTCTGCTACGTGACTTTGCTCTTCATTTTTACCTAAGGAACCCAAAAAATGTTCACAAGCAATATCTTCTTCCGCGTTCTTTGTAGAATTACTGCTGAAATCTGAAATTCCTCTTGTCTCTAAGTTCCAATGATCGGATACGTTAGGTCCCAAAACGTCAGACTTACATTCAGAGTAAATATACCACTACTTTGTCGTTTGCAATGCTCCTTAAGTCGACCACAAACAGTCCATCCTAATGTAGTGTTAATTGCAGTTAAACCTCCATCGAGCTGTTTGACTTTCTTTGTAAGAATTGTACCATAAATGTCACTACCTATTAGCATCTCTATCTTCGGACAACCTGTTCCTATGTCTGAAAGCCAGATCTTTTTACACTTAAGTTCTTTTAAAATAGGGCCCTTAGGTACGCGTGCTATATTTCCACATATAGCTTCCTGATCCAAAAACACAAATTCCATTTCTTTTCTCATATAAGGATTGAGAGAGCGTAGCTTGATCCGATACTTTTTATGTACATTCGGTTCAATTTTAACCCTCCAAAAAGCGTGTGAGCTACAGTTTCCTCGGCAAAGGGAATTAGTCCTAATTCCTGTACCGTTGACTTCAAAATGTATGATTTTTGTGATTCGCAATCGAGAAGCGATCGTACTTCTCTCGTGCCTGATTTTCCTAACACATTGACTTTAATTGTCATGAGAGCTATCTCCGTGGAACACGTCTGTCCCGCCGTAGTTGCGTGAATGGTGTCTGGCTCTGTTGCCTTTTCCTGCGTTTCCTATATCTGCAGATTTGGGCAGAGACGTACAAACTGTTTACACGACTTAGCAACATGTCCAGGCGAAAGGCACTTTAGGCAACATCTCTTAAGCCTAATTTTATTCTTTTTCTCATGTAATTACAGAGAGCGTGCTTCATAACAGTCCTTACTATCATGCAGTTTATCGCAAAAAATACAGTTATTATCTTTTGTCGTAAGGAAACCTGTTGCCGTAGGGACATTCGTTAACTGTTTCGATTTAAATTTGTTTTTTAATTCCCTTTTCGATTTATTACAATACTTGTCTTTTTGCCCAAAAATTTCAAATCCACTCCGCGCTAACTTAAGTCTTTCCTCCTCTTCCACTTTGCATCTTAAAAATTTCATCAAATTAGTTAGGCCAGAAATATTCTGACTTTCCTTTACTTCTCCAAAAAGCGGACTTCTTAGCCAGGCTCTGTGGACTTCCTCCGAGAGGCATGATTCTACCATGGGATATAACCAACAAGCATTGCTTTCCATTTTAATATCTAAGGATTCGAGAGCTCTTAATTGTGCTTCAATCTTATCAAATAATTGTGGCAATGGTAATTTTTTACTACTGCCTGTCTTAACATTCGTTACAATCAACTTAACAAGTTCTCTCACGTATACCTCAATTAATAAATCATGATTCCCAAAACGTTCCTTAAGAGCACTAATAGCTTTTGAATCATTTTTTACGGACATTGGGTAACTGTCAATAAAGTCTCTAGCACGCGTCCCTTGTTTCATGCTTTGCACAAGATACTGAAATTTGTCACTTTCGTGCAAATAAGGGCCCTCGTGTATTTTTTCGAACTGAGACCAAAATGGAAGCCAGTTCAATAATTCTCCATCGAACTTCTTAAGCTCTATTTTCGGAAGCTTTAACGATCTAGTATTACGAGGTGAATTACTAGAAACATTACCTCGCGACCTAGTTTCTAAATTTATCTGTTCTAAGGCACCTAATTTCTCACTAACTAAGCGAGAAATGGTAATAAATTCATCCTTATAAATATCCCAGCTTTCCATTTCATCGTTAACTTTTTCAGGCGTTACATCAGTCGAAATTATAAAATTCAAAATCTGCTCGTTAAGTTCCTCAATATCTTTCTGTAACATTTGCAACTTTGTAAATTTATCTTTAATTATACCTGCTGAAAAATTCATCCTTACCAATTTCGCTTTTCAAAACATTAACAGTCTTGGTAAAGGAAGAAAACGGAATCCTACGCGAGTTTTGCAGTTAAAGGATTCATAATAAAACGATCAATTGAAACCAGCTTTAACTTCACAAAATACCATTCAACAAAATAATTCTAACAAAAACCTCACTGCATCCTGTCGCGGACGCCACTTGTAACGAAATTTATCAAATGCGAATTTATCCTTGCGAATGCTTTTCCAAAAATATCAGAACTACGCCGAGACTAACCGTCAACGGTTGTTCTACACAGGTTCTTAATATATACGTATGTAAACCTTAATAATAATTAGACACAGTGAGTCTACTATTAGAATATCTGTTTACAATTTCAATATTTATGGAAAAAGAAATAAATCGTATCTACTTGAATTCTGCACATGTTTCTTGACGAATAAACAACTTTGTTAACACTTGACCTCAGTATTTTCACAGTTTCACAGTAAAGCAGGAACTAGGATATTATTCAATAAAAAGAACACAAAAAATACACATATAATAATTCAATTCATATTCATATCAACATTAAATTCATAGAACACTTCTATCACTAAGCAAACACGGATTAGAACGTGCATGGCAACGCCGAAAACTGATGCCATCCACAAAAAAAGGATACATAAAACTCGCGTCATTAAAACATTAATACATTAAAAGTCTGGTGTTCATTCAATAAAGTTATTCATAAAACTGTCTCGTGGATATCTTCAGAAGTTTATTGACGGCATTACATAACAGCACATAAGTCAAATGTTGGTTCATGAATTCTGTAATAATATTTGTTCTTTAATGCAGGAACTTGGGCATCAATACTGATTACTTCAATTCTGCTTTCTCTTGTTCAAAAAGTATCCAGGATATTCTTTGATTCTGAGAGAAACCAGTAGCTTTGTTGACCTGTTCAGGAGTATACATATAATTAAGACACATATGTTGAAGACACATATGTATACATATGTTGAAGGCACTGAAGTTCAAAAGTCAAAGGCTGTGTTGAGTTGAATAATAAGGCAAACTAACCTCAAAGGAACTCAATATCAGCAAGAAAGAAGCACTTTGCTTATGGCTGCTCATACTTACATAATAAAGTTTAATGATGTGATTTTTTAACCGTGAGACAAATAGGAAATGCAAATTTCTAACAAAAGGCCTATATGAATAGACATGCCAATAATATTATTGTCTTCAATGCTATTTTTCTAATCTGTGTGTTACACATTGCTATCCACTCTTTGGATTACAGATAAAAGCAAGTTACTTGTTTAAATCTTGAGATCCTTATTACAGTTAAAAGCTTCTGACAGTGCATTTTATAAAGGATAAAAGTGGACAATATTAGCACAGTGTATCTTCAGTCCATAAAATTTTACTGTAATTCATTATCTCAAATGAACCATTATGAGTAAAGTAGTAGAATGATGTTTAATTGTTACAATTACTATGACTTTTAGAAGGTGAGAGGATACTTATTCCAGTGGAATATGTAAAGACATTTTGCATTCCAGTTTTTCAGACTGAATTTCTCTTTTCATTTTCATTGGAGGAACCTTGGCTAAGATTTTGATGGATTATTTTATGCAGTATTATGAAAGCAAATTCGTACTTTGTTATTTAAATAAATTTCATTGTTCAGAAAGTGCCCAATTTAAATGTGAAACTGAATTAAGATAATAATAGCATTTATTGTGTTAAAAGTGAGTTTTTTTTCCCTCTCTAATAATATATATTTGAAGTCAAGCAGCTAATATATAGCCTGTTTTATATAAACTATTTTTTAGGAAATCATTTATAACAATAGTATTGAATCTCTAATTATTGGAATGGCTCACCAAGCTGCAGAAAGGGAAGATTTGTCAATAGTTGATGATTTGAGATGTAAGTTAGTTGAACATTATTTGCTATTTAAATATGTATACAATAAGTTCATGAAAATTCATTGCTGCCAGCGGTTAATGAAAAACAAATCATTTTACTAAACAGAAATCTCTGTTAAAAATTATGTATCATATTCTTTTTGAATTGAAAAAGAATTTAGCTATATAACTTTTATATGATTTATTTTTAAACATGGTTATGCTATTAATTTAGAAGTCAAACAACAAAATCAGCATTATATTTTCAAATTTTCACAGGACTAGTTTCGATGGTTTTACCGAACAGTCATCCTCAGCTGCTAAAGTGCAGAACAGTATTTTCAACCATTTGTGCTTTGGCAGCTGAGGATGATGGTTTGGTAAAACCACCAAAACTAGTCCTGTGAAAATTTGAGAATATAATGCTGATTTTTGTTGTTTGACTTCTAAATTAATACTTTTTTGGCATGTTACTGTATCTTAATTATGATTATGTTATGTTAACTATTATATATGTTATACATATGTCAACTATTATGTATATTACTGATTTATTATAAAATTTTCAAAACCAGTGTTGATTGCTTAAAGGATGATAAAAACTGACAATTTTCCATCTTCTACTGTATTAAATTAGAATCTTGGGTAGTTTTGTCTATCTTTAATAACTGATAATAAATTTGAAATATGTGGGCAAACTTATCTCTTCACTTAATTATGCATTATCTGTGTGAATTATTTCTTAAGAGAGGTATTAAAATGCATTTTAAAGTAATAAATGAATACTTACATTATGGAAAATGCTAATAAACAGTGTGCAAGATTGATAATAAATTTGAAATATGTGAGTAAACTTAATCTCTTCACTTAATTATTCATCATCTGTGTGAATTATTTCTTAAGAAAAGTATTAAAATGTATTGTAAAGTAATAAATGAATACTTATACTAGATGAAATCTTTGTATTCTATTGAACTTAAAGCAATGTGCTGGATTTGTTAAAATAGTACATAAAAGGAAAAGACCTTCTGCTGCACTACTCAATGAAATTGACATTAATTGGACAATGGGTTGCAACTCATTGTCATCTAACATGTTGAGCACCTATATTTTCTTCTCATGTGTGAACTGAATACACTGAATACAGTGTACTGAATCACTGAATCACTGAATACATACACTGAATACATCAGTGTAATTTTTATTAGCTTGAATAAATTATGTGTCCGTATTACACTGAAAGTTGTATCTTAAATATATTTTTCTCTCCAAAAAAAGCAAGTTATAAACTCTATAAAGAAAATTTTAATTCAAGACATTTCTTAACAAACAAAACAAATTATTTGAGAGGAGAGGGTATACTAATGTGTCACTGCTTTTGTTTTCAAAAATGTTTTCAGAGACTTTTATATCATTAAATTAGTAAAAATATTTATTGAAACGAAATTGTTAATTGCATTTCAATAAAACATTTATTGCCTTTTTAGGTTATATGCATGGTCCTCCAGAATTCACACGAAGAGACCTGATGGCTCTCAACATTCAGCGGGGTCGAGATCATGGTTTGCCTGGTTATGTGGTTGCTAGAAAAATGCTTGTACCTAATGAAAATATTGGATCTCTCGACTTTGATAAAATGGCAGCTATATCCAAATCTAGTTATAAAAACGTAAATCACATTTATAAGATTTTATTACTTGTTATTTTGTATATACAATTAAAGAATGTTATGAGTTTATAAATGAGTAGTTTTTGCATTTACTATCAGTTAATGGTTAACTAAATAATATTAATAAATGTTTTAAAAGATTATCTTATTGATATTACAGAGGATTTGAGTAATTGGTTGTTTGTAGAGGTTAGTCTTAAATTTCGGAAGGGGAATTATTCGTTCAATTCCTATCACAATATTACAAGTATTATAATGTTGTTAATTTACTTTTAAATGTAGATGTGTTAAAGTTTCTTAAAAGTATTATATGATCTTTTTCCATCAGTAGTAGAGAAAAATATTATTTCTGTAAATGCTTTTAATGAATTCCTGAAGTTGTTTGTCCAAATTCTATCATATCTTGTATACTATCTAAGCTAATTAAACAAGCATTGAATGTAGTATATTCTGCACCATTGTTTTATAAATTCAAGTGCTTGTATTTTTCTTTCTCTTCTTTTTTTATTGAATGTTAGGAATTAAGAATCTGAAGGTATTTTCTAAGTCTGTAATGAGTGATATGAATTTAGCAAAGAAATCTTTTATCAATATTTTACTTTTCCTATAAGCCCAGTATAAAACTGTGATTTATTACAAGATGAATGCTAGGTAAATATAACTTAGAGTAATTACGGGGTAAAAGGAACTGCTTATATTTTGCAAGCTGTCATTAAATACGTTAAGTATAATTCTTATTTTTATGATTCAACCCAGTAATGTTATCAATAGTTGATCGTATTGCTAATACAGAAAGAGTTATCTACTAAAATTTCTGGTTTTGCATTATTACTGATGGTGAACTTTAGGGGCTCATACAAGCCCTTTATTAAATTTGTCTCTGATTTATGAACCTCATATTCTTTTTATTTACTTGCTTATTTCATTCCAAGGAAAATATATGTCTTGCATATCAAAGTCACACTTGTAGATTTATGTTAGTCTTTTTCTTCTAGCAGAATGAAATTTTTAATGATGTAAAGAAAGCTAAAGTCATTATAGAAAATATTCCTGTTAGTAGTACTGAAGCTGAGATTTTCTTATCAGATCTGTGCAACATATTTCAGACTTAATGGGAATTTCGTTAAATAAAAACATTTTAGCAAATTATTTCTAAACTTTATATAAAATTTTATTTGCCTTAGAACTTTATAGAAGATCAACTGATGTAAAAGAAGGAAAAAATAATATTATTTAGCTTGTGTTGTAAATTAAATTGTTCACATAGTTAAGTTTACTTTGTTTAAATTTTATACACGTTAATAATTTTTTTATTTTGAAATATTCTCTTGTTCATGTGTAGGTTCGAATGTTTGGTACTCTTCTGTTATCAGAACCGGATTCAGAAATTTATGTATGTATGCATATGTCTATGTATGTATGTACACATGCATACATGCATAAATACAACCTCACATACTTTTCTGAATCTGGTTCCAATAACAGAAGAGATAACAGATACTAAATATTTTTTGTCACTGTAAAAAGTAAAACATGTAATTAGAATTTGATATTTTGTTTTTATAAGGTAAAGTATAAGCCTTTTGCTGAAATTTTCATTGCTTACCACTAATTCTTCTTTTCTATAAATTTTTCTTCCAGTAAATCTTTAATTGTTTGTAATATCTAATTAAATTTTTTAAGCACAACTTTTGTTAGCTGATACCTTTTACTTTTAATAAACCTTTTTGAAACTCTTTTCTTATTGTGAAAATTCACAGCAATCTTTATCAAATTTATGAAAATTTATGCGAAAAAATATTATTTATCAAATACAAAAAATAAATGCATCGTATATTTATCAATGCAAAAATAAATGCAACAATAAAAGAAACACATAACTTACTAAATTTGTGAAGCATACTTGAACGTGAATTTCTAGGTTATTGAAAATACTCTTACTCGGCTGTATTCATCAATGGATGAAGTTGACCTTTTTGTTGGCGGACTGCTAGAAGCAGATGACGAACTAGGCCCTGTTTTCAAAGAAATAATCAGAGAACAGTTTCAACGAATTAGAGATGGAGATCGATTTTGGTTTGAAAATAAAGAAAATGGGTATATACTTTTACATTGCTACATTTTTTTTTTCTTTTAGTCACCTGAATTTTTTTTTTTTTTTTTTTTCTGAACATCTAACTTTGTGACAATTCATAAAGTTTTACTTTTCTCTGTGTACTCAATTGTATAGCTTATTTTAATTTGTGTATATGTACAGTAAAAGTGTAATTATCCAGCATTCAATTAGTTTGAAAACTCAAGTAACCGGAATTTTTAAGAATTTTAGAAACAAAAATTTGCCTTTGAAACATTTAGTATATAAGATATTTGTAATGCCATTATAGAGCTTACAATGTTATTAATACATGTACATTGCAGCCAAACAGTGCGTTTAGCTCAGTAATGGATAAGCATGATGTCACAACACAATAATAAGAAGCTTATTTCAATTTACTGTAAATTCCATTAATTCTTGATAAGCTAGTTTAATTTTTGAAACAATGGGTATAAGTTCTATTTTTTGCTCACATTTTAAAAAAATGCTTAATCTTTGGGACTGCATGGAGTAGAGTATTTTCAAAGTTACAGAATCCTGGTGTTAAAAAAATGCAATACTTTGAAAATGAATAAACAATGACTATGTGAAAAATTATGATAAACGATTTAAGTTTTTTATATGCTATGTCCTATTCTTAAACTAAGTAAAGAATGATTTGTTCCCTTACATTATTGCCAGAGTGGTTGGTGACATCCTCAATAACTTTTGTGTTTGAAGAGATATTTATAATAATCGAAATAATGATTTTTATGACAAAAATGCATTTTCCCCCAAAAAATCTTGTGTAATTTTAAATTAAGGTTTTTGATATCATATTGGTAATAAGTAAAAAAAAAAAAAAAAAAATTAACCTAATGGAACATTAGCTGAGAAGCGCCATTAATTTCATTTTGGCATTTTGCATTGGTTCACTATAAAAGTCTGAATCGCTTTTCAAATTCTTGCCACCAAATATTAAAGCCCTGCATTATATTTGCCTAAATACAAGCCTAAATTTGGAATTTGTTGTATTATCTATTTCATATTTTGTAAAACTTTAGCGAATTTTTTATTAACAGACTCGATGATATCAAAGCATTCTATTAACATTAACATCACATGCATTTTCGGGCACGGATATTTTATACACAAGGTTTCTTTTCTTGTGATATTGCTGTTGAATTGAATTTTATGGTTTAAATGTGAAGAACATGATATTTAATAAATTAAGGTAAAACACAAATTGTTAAAAAAATGTGCCTTTGGGCATAATATAAAATTTGAAAGCTTTCAAATTTCTTTTTAATGTTTTTTAAAAATATTTTATTTATTTACTTTCTTTTAATAATGTTCGAGCATAAATTTTTCATATTCATTTGGCTTATCTATCATAAATTCTGTTTTTTATATGCTCACATATCCAGAATTCAGCATTTCCCAAGTTTTCAGATAGTCGAGCTGTTACTGTATGGTAATAATAACAATAATAAATAAAATACGAATGTAGTAGTTCCAAACCTCTTTGTTCATGCCATTTTTTGCACTTTTTAAGCATTTATGTACTATTGATCTCATTGCTAGACTAGCTTATTTTTCACAGTAGTTTGTTGCTTAAGCAAATAGTTTTTATTTTTTATATTAGCTTGCTCCAGGTTGAATATATATTGGATTTAAATGCTTATATTTTTCAATGAATATACTTGTTTTTGTTTTTTTTAATTTATTCAAGTTCTGAATCTAAGCAAATCTTTATATTCAATATTTAATATAAATTAAAAGACCAATTTCATTGCATAGGAAATCAGCTGAGGTAATGAAATTAAAGAAGTTGAGGAATTCAATGTTATATTCAATGTTTAAATACAAATTAAAAGACCAATTCTATTACTTACAAAATCAATTGAGGTAATGAAATTAAAGAAGTTGAGGAATATAATTTAAGATTAAATGCTATCCAATCAATAAAATTAAATATTACCCGGTTCTTACATTTTTCAGCAGCTCTTTGCAGTTCGTGACTGTTTACTTAGTTATTGGTTTAGATAATACCTACCTTCTTTTAATGTTTCTTTGTTATTTTTAAGATAGTGCTCCAGTGGACAGGCTCTTGACTATGGTGATTTTAAGTCACTCGAACAAGATATGGTGTATCTGCCTGCTGGTAAATATCTAAATGAATATGCAGCAATGCATACCGTCTGAGTCAAACTTGACAGTACAGTTGTAAGTTCCTACTGTGCTCGAATGGACCTCTATATTAACAAAGATTCTGTTCACTGTGAAGGTAGTTAATTTCCTGATGACATATGGGTGCTGCGAGAAACCAATCTGGGAGGGATTTAGGTGGTTAAAATTTAAGAAAATCCCAATATCAGCATCTTTGTGCAAACATTTGCTTATCTTTAAAAGAAATAATTTATGTGCATTTTTAGTGATGTGGCAAACATACATTTACGTAATTCTAAAATGACTCTTAAATTGCATTTTTATGTATCATTAATATTTTTATAGAATCTTTACTGAAGATCAAATAGAGCAAATTCGAAAGACAACTATGTATGACATTATCTTATCGGTTACGCAGAATATTCACAGTAAAGACTTGCAACCTGATGTATTTCATGTACCCACTGAAGGTAATACAAATATATATTATTTATGTATTCTTTCATTGAGGATTTACAAATTTAAAACAGATTTTAACATAGATAATCATTTGTAACATTATTTAAGCATTTGTGAATTTAATTTGCTGAGTCAGAATCATTTGAATAAGTTAAATCAAAATCAGAATCGAATTACTTTTAGCCACTTCATATTTTGGCTAGCATGAGCTACCCAAAGCCCAAATATAATAATTTTCCAGTATTTTGCAAATCTGATGAAGAATTTTCAAAATAAGAATATATTATCATATAATAAACATTTATATTTTTAAGAATATTATCATTGCATTTATAAAATATTTGTCTTTAATAATCTGAATAAGACTATCTTTAATAAGACTATCTTTTACAGTTCATTAGAAAGATGTTGAAATAAATTTATCACTACTGGCTTTTAGTTATAGTTGATCATCGTCTTTGACCAATCAATCACTAAAAAGCTATTAAACTACAATAACTATGATGTATATCTAGTGCCTGTTGCTTATTCAACACATTGGTTTATAAAATCAGCCACTTGTTATGGTCAAATTTTCTGGAAACAAAACAAATATATAATAATGAATAGAAAAATTGCCATTTATTAAGCTCAGATTGGCAAAAGACTGATTCTTCAGTGCCAGAATATCTTACTTTCACTAATAAAAGCACTTTGAAGTTCATTCAACTTACTGGAGACCATGGCTTATTTATTACTTAAGTATGTAGTACTTTAATCTAATGAGTTTCATTGATTTTTTTCTACCCTTTGGTTCTTGTACCTGTGAGGCAGTATTTTTAGTGTTCTTTGCCCTGAATGAAGTTCAGAGAGACAGAATTTCCTTAAGGTTGAAAAATAAATAATCTTTTAGAGATATTTTATATAAGTGATTGTTCCTTCTCCAATATCATATGATAGGAGATGGGAGTGCAACTTCTGCACCCCATCTTTTAAGGCTTTCTTATTCAAAATCTTCTGTCTGAGATGCACACATTATATTCCCTTAAAATTCTTAAGTTCTCAAAGAAAAAGAAAAAAAAAAAAAAAGTGACATACTTTCTAGCATTATTGTACGTTAATAGTCTTTGAATAGAAAGAGAGGTAACTATTGATGGAAAGAAAAGAAAAGAAAACATTGGTCTTACCTTGAATCATTAAACTGCAGATCGACTTAACAGACAAAGTGCTTTCTTTCCACTGCCTAGAAACATAAGTTTTGAAACTGGATAAATTTTCTGAACTAGGACTCTTTAAATTGTTGTGTGCTTAATTTATAACATGTTCAAAGTAAATAAAAAGACTGAAACCTGAAGGAAAAGGATAAATTGTTAAAAGATCTTGGTATCCTTGGCAGGTGCAGCCAAGAAAAGCTGTATTTAAACTGGGAATTTTCCAAACAACTGCATTGTGCAATTTACTTAACCACTTCATTGTGTTCCCCAAGACAGACTCATCAGTTTGAAATGTTCTGTCAGTAGCTTTGAACCCTAACACAACATCATATAATATATATATATATATATATATATGTATATATGCATATTTTATACAATTATTTGGGTATTTAAAATGGCCATTAGCCTTTCGAAAATAATCGAATTATTAAAATCATTCAGAGCCACTTATGATACTTTTCAGATATGAGTCTGTCTCGGAGGAAACACTGAAATGGTTAAACAAGAGCAAATGGTTAAACAAAGAGCTATAACTGATGGAAGAATAATGCAAATGCTAATGTAAGAGATGCAAATGTCTCAAGAAGGTGCAAAATTAAAGGAAAATTGAGAGATGTTTTCTTGAACAGTTTCAAGCTATGAAGCTAAAAATGTTTTTTTTTTTTTTTTTTTTTTTTTTTTTTTTTTTTTTTTTTAAATATAAATGCTGTGGATTTCACTAAAATGCTAGGATAGGTATTTTTACCAACAGATGGCTCACAGGCTGGAAAGAGAGAAATAACATTGTTTATGAAAACTGTATGATCAAAGGAGAAATATATTTTCTATTTTTTGTCATTGTGATTAATAACTGCAATTTATTAGTCTTTTTTATTACTACCTTTTTTTCCTCCTAAAAGTAGTCATAGCAGCAGTAAACTTATTTGAATTATACAAATTTACTTAATATTCTTATTAGTTCATTCATTAAAATCTGTGGGATAAGTTTTCTCAGCCAGCGTTAGTATAAAGAATTTAGTTCTTTTAGAATAATTCTGTAAAAGGGACAGATTAGCAGATATTTTCTTTTTCTTTCCTTTTATATATGTATATATATATACCATTGGTTCTGATTAGGTAAATGATTTTAAACTTTAAAAAATTACAACTTCCAGTTCCATTGTCTATAACATTAATTTCTCCTTGATTATTAAAAAGCCCAGTAATTTTAGGTCACTAAAAGACTGCTGTGCATGAATATGTCATACGTTATCGAAGACTGTATTATTAATTTCAAAATAAAAATGTGTTAATTTCTGTTTCCCTTCAAATAACATGCAAGATAAAATTTTTATTATTCTTTTGTGTATTTCAGATTATTTAGCGAATTTAACATGTGCAGATCATTTCTTACCTTATGAATGCAAAATACGTGGAAAAGAAAGAAATTGTTTTGCATTACCAGTAATAAAATCTTCAGTTTTAAAATGTTCAGCTTCTGTGAGTGTGCCACTTTGTTCCACATCTGAACCGCAGACTTATGATTATTTTACTGGTAGTGGGGCCTCTTTTGTTCTATCCTTTCTTTTTCTGTTCCTTTTTTTTATAGGTACGTGCACTCATTTTTAATTATTATTATTTTCACTTTTATAATAAAATCTGGAAGTTAAAGTAAAATTATAATTTTCTGCTTTGTAAAATGTGTTAAACATGTAACACTGATGCATATTTTATAATGTAAAAGAAATTAGGTACTTTGATTTTATATTCATAGTATTTTATACTAAAATTTAAAATAATTTTCTCATTAATTTTTTGTAATACATGAGGTTGTAAAGAGTAAAACAGTCACTTTTTTTTTAAAATCTAATCTCACTTTTATAATATGAAAAGCATAACTACTACTCCTGTTCCTGCAAATAAACATTGTCTATAATTCTTACAGATCATTCAATGTCTTGCTTTGCTCAAGTAGTCAAAATTTACCCATAAATTGGTAACCATGTGATATGTTATATTATATACTCTATATAGATACAAGGTGTGTTCGAAAGTTCGGTGAATTTTACCATAAAAAAAAGGAAACTAGAAACAAGCAAAATAGCTTTACTGGCCTTCAAAGTATTCGTCATTAGCAACAATACACTTTTGGCATCGGGTGTACAATTGTTGGAAACTATCTGCAAATGCTTCTTTTGGTATGGCTCGAGGCACTGTTGTCACACGTTGTTGGATCTCAGTAATATCGGAAATGTGTTGGCCTTTCAGAACTCCTTTGAGGCGGGGAAACAGGAAGATGTCTGTGAGAGCCAGATCTGGAGAATATGGAGGGTGATCCAAAACTGGAACCTGGTGCCTGTCGAGGAATTGGGTTACACGGATCGCAGTGTGCGGCTGGGCATTGCCATGGAACAGATTCCACTGTCCATTCCAGTACTGTGGCCTGAATCCGGCATATGAGTAGCAGCAACCTGTTTTAAAACCCCCTCGTAATTATTCCTGCATTGACGGGTTGTAGCTGCGCTACAAATTCATGATGGATCAACCCTTACTGTCGAAAATGACGATCAACAACTTGACTGGATTGTGTCAAACGACTTTTTCTGGGAGGGGGGGTGACGACGTTGAACACCATGCCATAGATTGCCGCTTGGTCTCCGGATCGTATATGATAGCACCACGACTCATCCCTGTAATTATTGTTTCCAAGAATTGTGGATTCCGGTCACACACGTCAATAAAATCTCCAGATGTTTCCATCTGGTATTGCTTTTGCTCGTCTGACAGCGAGTGCGGTATAAACCGGGTGCATATCTTATGTTTAATGCAAAATGTTTGTGCACAATGGTGCTCCCACTGTCTAGGCTTATCTGCAATTTGCCAGCTATATTCTTAAAGATAGTCATTCGATCTGTTGCAAGCACCCCTTCACTCGTTCATTGTCTGAGTTTGCTTGTTGTAGGACGCCCCGACCGTGGCTGATCTTTGACATCCTCCTTTCCGTCTGTAAAGCGTTTAAACCACTCATATACACTTTTTTTACTCACTGCTTCCTGACCGTAACTTTCACTAACATGTCATGTGTCTCCGTCGCTGTTTTGCCTAGCTTGAAGCAAAATTTTGTTTATGCATTGCTCCATGTCACACTGACAATCTTTCTCACACTGACTGTGTTAAACTGCTCATAGCGTGCACTTCCTCTTATCTGTCGTAAAATGGCCGTGAGATGGCTCTAGATGACATTTCTCTCACTGCGTCTGCGTGAGTGCAAGATCCTAACAGGCGCGGTTTTTTAATTATGAGACCAATCACCGAACTTTTCGAACACAACTTGTACATGTGTTTTTTCTTTTAGATTTTTTGTTTGTGTGTTCTTTTTTACTATAAATTTAGTTAAAATAAAATCTGAAAGTAGTCAGATTTTAATGTGAGACCAGAAGTTTTAAGTTCTTTCAGCTCACAGTTTATCAATCTGTTTTTAAACTCATTCCCTGTTACTATCGGGTTGGAGGGAAAGTTCTGTCGTATTTTAAATAGGCAGGTGATTTTTCTTGTAAATAAAAAAAAATCTGGCTAGTGAGTCAATCAGATTTTTTTTTGTTGTTGTTGTTGTTTTTTTAGCTGCTGTATAATATAAAAGGTTCTCTTTTTTACCGTTCATCATTTACTTGTAATATTTAAAGGGAAAAACATGTTTGTAGATAAAGTGCATTTACGACACTGCATTTTATATGAATTCCAAAAAGGAAGCAACGCATCTGTTGCATGTAAAAATTTATGTGCGGTATTTGGAAAAGATATTGTAAATATTCGTACTTGTCAAAGATGGTTTAGCAAATTTCGTTCCGGGGACATGAGCCTCAAAGAAAGTGTTCGATCTGGACGACCATCCAAGATCGATAATGATGTTTTGCGAATGTTGGGTTGAAAAATAATCCACATTTAACAAGTCGAGAAATTGCAGAAGAGTTTGGCATTCATCATACAACTGTTGGAGATCACATTAAATCTCTTGGGTTTGTGTTAAAGCAAAGTGTTTGGGTTCCACATGAATTAACGGAAAAGAATTTGTCTGATCGTGTAAGAATATGTTCATCACATCTGATTAGACACAATGTGGAGCCGTTTTTGGACAGGCTGGTTACTGGAGATGAAAAGTGGATTCTTTACGAGAATATTAAAAGAAAAAAATCTTACTGCAAACCAGGAACATCATCAGCAACAGTTCCAAAACCAAGTATCCATCAACGAAAAGTGCTGGTTTGTTTGTGGTGGGACAGGAAAGGTCCAGTGTATTACGAATTGCTGAAACAGGGAAAAAACATCAACGCGGATCTGTACTGCAATCAGCTGGATAAATTGAATGCAGCTATCAAAGAAAAAAGGCCAGCATTAGCGTCCAGAAAAGGAATAGTGTTCTATCACGATAATGCTCGCCCCGCATACTGCAGTGGTGACACTACAAAAACTGAATGCGTTAGGATGGGGAAATCCTTAGTCAGCCCCCGTATTCACCTGACATTGCACCCTCTGATTATGACCTGTTGAGATCTCTGCAAAATTATCTAACGGGAAAAAAATTCTAGTCTTTTGAAAGTGTTTCTAAGGCAGTTGCTGACTATTTTAACTCCATGGACGAGAACTTCTACAAAACAGGAATTTACAGGTTACCTGGAAGATGGCAACAGGTTGTAACAAATAACGGAGCATATATAATTGATTAATATTAAACACATATTTTTATAAATGAATTCAAATATTTTCTTTAAAATACAACAGAACTTTCCCTCCAACCCAATATTTTGTTATCATTCTATCCCTTCATACAATAGAAAATGATAACTGATGCTCACATATAGCTCAGTGTATGTCATGGTAGCCCTTTATTTTTTGACAGCCCCCTTTTTTTTTTTCTTTTTCTCTTTTTTCAGCTCATCATATTGGTGTTAAATTTTCTTAATAAGATGATCTACACACATATAACCTCTTTTGTCTTGTTAACTTTATTCATTAAGCATCACTGTCTTTGCACTTACACCACATAAAATTGACCAGCAAAATCACACAATTTTTAAAAGCAGGATATCTTGGGAATGCCTGACAGATTGGTAACTGTTGTCATACATATATTTATATTCACTGTATTATTCCATTAAAAATAATATAACAAGCAAGGTAGTTAGTACAATACTGTATGACCAATTTGGTCTAGATAACATTTTGTGCAATATGCTGCAAAATTAAGTGAATTAGAAATTGTAGTAAGCTCGCCTAAAAGTTACCAGGAGCTGTGGCTCCGAAAAGTTCAACACATTTTAAAAAAACAATGTCATTGAAGGGTGATAAATTATGCTACACGAGTAAAAGAAAATAAACACAGTAAAATACTAAGCGTTGGAAACTAGTAATGGCAAAAAATACAGTAAAATACCTATAGATGTGACACTTGAAAAATTAAAACATATGAAAATCAAACCAAGGAACAAGTTAAACATAAAACAAACAAAATCAGATAAATAGAAAGTGGAAAATGGTAAATTAGCTGAATTCGAGTCCATCTGGCTTTTCAAGGGAAATATCTAATGAATGTCGAGAAAAAAAAAAAACAAAAAAAAAAAAAAAAAAAAAAAAAAAAAAAAAAAAAAAAAAAAAAAAAAAAACAAAAAAAAAAAATTGAACCTTTTAGTACAAAATTTTTAATTAGACAAATGTCTTGGAAAATTTATTAGTCTCAATTCTCTGTTCCTATTTCCCGACGCGTCCGCACAAAATGACACATTAAGGTGTTAAAATATGTAAAAACTATTCCGATTATATCAAAAATCAAGACAAAAATAAAAATAAAAATAAAAATAAATAGCGGTCTGCTATTAGTCCTAAATATACAAAAACATACAGGCTGGACCTGCAAGCTTAAAGATTTATACCTTTATAAAATTTAGAAATCTGTAATTAAATTTAAATGAAAATTTAAATGAAAACAATCACAGTGGGTCTTGCTAAGACCAAGAAAAAAGTTGTAGTAAAAGAAACAGAAAAAACTGACCTGTGGCGATGCAGAGCTCTCCCTCTAAAAACAAGTTGAAAAGGGGTTGTAATTTCCTTCTGTGGACTTCAGCGTCATCCCACTCGTCCTGTGACGTAAGTAGGGGGGAGCGATGTCTTTTGGGCATCAGCCAATACGAAAAAGACTGTCCGTTAGCTGTAACTCGTCTCTAATTTTTCGAAGGGGGTCGGAAACCCCCTCGGAAAAAGACGTGAAAAGATTTCAAAATGGCGTCAGTCAAGTTGTTGGAAGAAAAAACTCTGTAAAAATACTGAAAATGAGTGAAAATGGCTGATTCAGCTAAAACTACTAAATTACTTATTTTAGGTCACTAATAGAAAGAGTAAATTGGAAAACAGTCATTTTTTTAATAAAAAGTCGTAATTCTTCAAGCTAGTGGGCGATCAAGCTACTATGAAAAACGAAAAGGCCCGATTTGTTAAAAAAAGTAGCAAAATTGGCCATCAAAGAAATTTCAAACTATTTAAACAATAGTATTAAAAGTATTGTGCCAAATTTTTTTGGAGAAAAGAAAATGTAGTAACAAGAATTATCTGTACATTTTTTACATTAGATTCTCTGAATCAGCCATCCACTTTATACCTTCCCATTGGGCTTTAAGCATAAAATATCACTATCTAACTCAAAAAATCTAAAAATAGGTAAGGCTAATGCCAGCTTTTTTTAGGTATTTTTAATTATTTTATGAGGAATTAGGTTACTTTTCAATATAGTTACGAAGTATAGTATTTCTTCTTGTAGGGGTTTAGCAGTATTGCAGATTCTTTTTATTCTGAGTAGCTGTGAATAAAATTGTGTTAAGGATGACTCTTTTGGAAAATATTGAATTCCAGGTGGTTAATTTTGTGTGTGGAAAATGAAATTCTCTTCTTTTGTTGTAAACTTTTATAAAATTGTAATCAATAATATGTAAATCAAGGTAGACTACATTATGCTGCTCTGTATTTGTTTTATTTAGTTTTAAGCATGTAGGGTAGATATTAGCAACTTCTATTTTGTTGTAGTTATTAAATGCAAAATATATCTATAGATGTGTTGGTAAAATTTATGTTCTTCTGTACTGAGTGAACGGACAAAGATCAATTCTTTTGTAAAAAGGAATAATTCACAGACAGAGCTTGAAAAATTACCACCCATTGGGTTCCCTGCACTTGTTTAAAGATGCTATTGTTAAATTGAATAAAATTATTGAAGAGCATGCTGGAGAGGAAAAGCTGCCATTTTTCAATGCTAATAATGGTAGAAATTTGCGGAAATAAATCTGGAAGAGCAAGTAAACTTGTAAATATTTCTTCAAGTGGTAGAGAAGTATAGAAGTTTACTTCGTACTACTTCGGTAAGTCGTAGCATTGGATATGGTCTATTTTAAGTGAATTTACAGTTTTAAGAACTAGTTCGTTACTAGAGATCATCCACTTGTAATGCACATCCTTAAAATCATAGTTATTAATTAGGTCGCGTATCATACGAAGTTTTTGTGCAAAAAGATAATCTATTTCTTTAGGTTAACTTTTGGTACTATTAGCTATGAACCTGAATTTTATTGGAGACTTATGAAATTTTGGTAATGCATAGAGATTGGCAAACCTGTTGTTATATTTCTGGGGATGTATTTTAAGCCTTTTATGTAGTGTGTTAAATTTATTGAGAAGAATCTTAGTATTGGTAGTGATTTTGGTAAGTTGCAGGTGTATTAACTCTTATGCAGAAGGTTGAAGTAAAATTGTTTTCAAATAACATTAAAATTGTTGCTGGCTTTGTCAATTTTCATGATGATAAAGTTATCTTGCAGTTTTTGAATAAGATCCTCTAGAATTTTTTTTAACGTTTAAATTCTTACTTTTGCAATATTCAAAACATTCCACTTTTTTTTTTTTTTTTTTTTTTTTTTTTTTTTTTGGATACGTATATGGAACAATTTTTCTACCTGAAGCTAAATTTTGACGTTTTTTACCTTTGTTGTGTACGAAGGTATCTATCATAGCTTTAGATATAAAAAAACCCTGGTTTTTCACAACGTTTTTTAATAACTAAAAACTAAAACTAAACTCAGTGGTGTAACAACCCTAATGGACCAAGGCCTGCAGTGCCCCAAAATCTGCTTTCTTGACCGTGATCCCCGGGGTGCGTAAGCATATACCCTGAGTCAGCTTGTCAAGTGGTCAGCTTGTCGCAGGAGCCCCAGTGTTTAGTCCCCAAGCGAACTTGGTACTCATTTTATTGACCCAAGTGATGGAAATCAAGGGATGAAAGGCTGAGTCGACCTTGCCCAGCCCGGGAATCGAACCCTGGACTTTCTGCGTGATGCGTTAGCCACTGTGCCACCAGGCCTTTTTTAATAACTGTATATGAATAATTTTCTTTGGAGAGAGCACAAATATAGCATTCCGTCCATTGCTGCTTTAAAAGCAACATTTTGAATAAAAACAAGACTGTTAAGTATCAAATGGTAATTTGCATTTAAAACAAATTTCCAAGCAAAAGATTTTTTTTTACCAGCAAAATCATCTAAAAATATGGGAACAGCCTCTGTATACAAAATAAATTTACTGTGAAAGATATTTTTGACAAATGAGTATGTTGAATTTTTTCCTGTTCTTTTATAATAAATCAATATTTTATATTTCACATATAAAGAAAATAAATAATATTAATAAAAATAAATCTGCTAAATTTAGAAATAAAATGAAACTAAATGCATAATATATAAAACATATGTAATGTGAAAATAGATCCTTCAATGGATGATTATTTTTATCTATTATCAAAAAATTAAACACGCAAGTGTTCATTTGATAAAATGCAGCATGTTTTATGAAAAATTAAGTTCAAACAGAAATGAGAAAAGTTTAGATTTTAAATCTGTCACTAAATATGTATTAATACTTTTTGCGTACATATAGCTTAATATTCTTATACAATTAAGATCAAGAAACAAGACTTAAATATAAATCTATATTCTGTCATTTATCTAAATTATCTGTTGCTAGTAATTTTTTCTCATTCTAGCATATCCTTAAACTCAACAATGAAAATTGTACTGTTTCATATAATGTTAAATGAGATTTTATTCACCCCCCTTTCTTTTGAAATGAGATTAAATTGTTAACTTTAAAGGAAAAATAAATATTAATATCAAAACATTAAGAATATTCAAACTTGTCTTAAGTTTTGACTTGTTAAATTTCTCCATTACTCTAACTGTTAATTCCTCTAATTTGAATGCTTTCACAAATGGTAAAGTTTATAGTAAGTAAATCATAGTGGTTTTTTTTTTTTTTTTTTTTTTTTCATACATAGAATATTATTTGAGTTTTATAACTAATCAATAACTTTTTATACTTTTAGTAAAGATTTGATGTTTCTTTAATTAATATAGATGTAGTCTCATTTTTAGTAAGCCTCGTTCTTATTTTCATTCATAATAATATTCTTCATTAATGCCTAATCATTTGCTACATAAAGGGAGGGAGACATATGTAAGTAGCCATTATCAATGCAGAACTTAAGTATAATTCATGTTTTTACAAATTCTTTTGTTCTGAGGCTCATACTTATTTTTATGCATATTAATATTTAAAAACTGTAATAAATAGATTACATAAAGATATGGAAGAAAAATTTTAAACGATAAGTATTCTTAATACAATCCAAATAAATTTTTCTTCTTATAACATTTATTAGAATTTCATTAGTACACTATTTTTTCATTTTAAATGTTGTCAGAATTGAAATCAAAACATTGGAAAATGTATTAAATTTTTAAAAAAAGTTTTTTTATCTTTCTTTTTTTCCCCCTTCTTTTCAATCATTATTTGCTTTTTAAGTGTTTTTTCAAACTTTTGATTGCATTTTATGGATTTTCTTTTCTTGAGTGTGTAATTTTTGTGTGAAATAAGTTCTATATAACAGAATAATTATGAAAAATATTTTATTAAATAATATCAATATAATTTTTCTGTTATTCTATACATATGAATATTATTGAAGCCTGAAATGTATATTTAAGATTTATAATTTGGGGGTGGGACAAAAATTGATATTTTGAATCTTTTTTTATGCATATTATGTGCTATATATAAAAACTTTTTTTTTTTTTTTCCTGTATTAAGGCTCAGTCATTGCTTTATTTCTTCTTGTCCATATGCGCAAAAAAGAAAGTTTGCGTTTACGACAGTCTGTAAGACAGCAAAGGAAGGTTTATTCAGATGAAAATTCTTGCCTAGGTGAGTTTTATTTATTAAAAAAGTGTATAATATCATATTGTACTTTTCAAAGTTTTTTAGAAGCTTATGGACAACTTTAAGATTAATACAAGGGAAAGTCAATGAATAATTACAAGCTGGTGTAGGATAACAAAAAATTATGCAGAATGATTTTAAAAGATGTAACTAGGTAGCTACACTGATGCAGTAAGCAACATCATCAGCCACTCAGGATGTATCAGAGTAGTGCGAAAAATGGCTACAGTGCAAGATCAGGGTTTAATTTCTAAAATTAGAAGTGCCAGAGCCCTATAGAAGACTGTGAGGAATAAAAGAAAAAATAAATAAATAACTAAAAATTAAAATAATTGAATAATTAAATTTAAATTTAAAGAAATGTAAAGAAATAAAAAAAGAAACCTAATAAATAATTAAACTAAATAAAAAAAGTATCGGGTCTCATCTTATTTGGGTCTACGACTGGAATTACAGTTCTACTCAGAAGCTAAGAAACATTTTCATTCATAATAATATTCTTCTGGCTCATCTTAATTATAATGCACTATTTCAAGGGATGACACACACAAAAGCCATTCCTCTTTTGCAGCACACCAATTAAAAAGATAAAACTATTAAAGCATCACTGAGAAGAGTACTGACAGCTCTAGAAACAGGAAGGAAATTTTAACAGAAAAAAGTAGCTTTGAATAAGGAGGGAAGAGTTCAAAACTTTCTGATTGCAGTGCCCTGTCAATATAATTCTAACCGTCAAGAAGAAATTTTCTCTGAATACGGTCCAACAATAACATGAGAATAAATGTAATACTCCTCTGTGCAAGTGACAGCAATGGTCTTCCCGTTTGGTTGCATCATTCAAAAAGTCTACAGGAGCTCTGCTGTAAGAAGTCACTAGCGTGGAATGTGCACAACCAGGGTATCGCTTTTAGTACCTTGAGGGACGGAACATAAAATTTATCCGCTCTTATAAATTCATTGCATATCATGGAGAATAAGTCTTTGATATAAGATTTGAGGCTTTTCTTTCCTTAAAAGCCTCAAACACAGCAAGTGCAAGGTTTGAGTGCGAGAGAAAGAAGCATGTATTCAAAAGTTAGAAACGATTTTTAAGTTATGTTTACTATTAAAACAAAATTTGTCTGCTAAATTTGTGGTTCCTTTACATAAAAAAGTGTCGGACCCCTTTAAGGGCTCTGGTGCGCTCCGGTTGCAATTATAATTTAGTTAAAAAACTGAGAAGTACTGGAGCTGGCACAATTTAAGCTCTGAAGAAGATTATGCATTAGAAGATACTGTGATGTACATTTTTAATACTGCTAATTTCAGAGGTGAGGAGTCTATGTGATTGTTTCACCATACTATGATATACTATTGAACGTTCAGGAAATATTACATCAAATAGCGGGCTGTGGCCAAATATGTGTATGATGTCATAATTTAAATTTAATGTAATAAATAATAAGTTTTTCTCAATATCAATAAAAGAATTAACATGGCAGTAACATATCATGTCAATTATCCTAAACTGAAACAAAAAAAAAAAAAAAGTTGCCAACAGCAACTATTTATTTAAAATGCTGACATTAATGGAAAATCTTCAACATACAGTGACATCACATGCAGTCGTGTGCTTTCTTCAGCATCAGAATATGACCTTGATTTTTATCTCCAGCGAGGAAGACTGTTGCCACTCAGAAAAATGAGTGCGAAAATTAGCGTTTTCAGATGTTTTAATTAATATCTCTGCTAATTAATGTTGTATGAAGAGGAGAATGATCGAAATGGCTTCCCATGAATTTTAGGAATCTGGGGGTACCCTACCTTTGCGAAGAAGATAATGTCACAAACAAACAAACAAACAGATACATACAGATTTTAATAGTATAGATTTTATGAAAATGTCCAGGGCTATTGAATTGCAGCATATTGTTCCGTCATGACAAAGGCAGATCAGTCAGGTGTGTCTTGTAGAAGTCAGGTCTTCAACACCCTAATTAAAACCCCAAACTTAGCTCAAAGTGACTTTCATTTATTTGGTCCAATCAAAATTCATATTAGAAATGCACAGATTTGTTATATAATGCTGACATTCAACAAGAGGTTTGTATATAGCTATGGTAATGACCCAAATATTCTCATGAATTCATGAGATAAAAATTTGAACGCAGCTGGATATCATGTGGAAAAATGGAAACTGTTGCTGTGTAAGTATTTCAGGCATTTTTTTCCTTTAGCCATTTGTAAACTATTTGTTAATAACAGAACATATTTATACTGAGATTATTATAAATAAAAATTGAGTATCTGTTTGCTAGCCAACATAAGCACTAATGTTATTTTATAGTGTCAAGGAATTTTTTGCAAAATCTAAAAAAAATTTATCTGAACAAAAATGATAGAAAATTATAGAAAAACATTTTATTTTTATCTGGTCTGATTAATATGCTTCTATTTGTAACCATATTGAAAATTACTGTCTCACTACACTAAGTTATATAAGCAGCCAATAATTCAAAAATATCTGCCAACATAACTTATTAGTTTTAAGTAGCCTGATATTATAATTTCATTAATTAATCCAACTGCTGATATTGCACTCATTGTGAATATTCTGGCTCTGTATGTTTGAACATTCTTGAAAAATCATTATTTGTGGAGCAGCTGCTTGCTCTTTGGTTTGACAACTGATACTTTTTACACTATACCCGAATAGTATGGTGGTTAGGGAAGCCTAGTTCGGTAGCGAAGTGCTCTGGTTGGAATCCTGGAGAAGGCATGGTTGTAACTGCCCGTCTCTTCATGAAAAGCAACAATGGCCACCTATTAGGTGCCTCCATAATAAAATTGCCACCAGTTCTGGCCTTAGGAGTAGCCAATAGTGAGTAGGTGAATACCCGCCACTGGATAATTAAAAAAAAATTACACCACATATTTTAGTAGCATCCTTTTATGCATGATCATCACTCCCTCCTTCTCTCCTGGGGCAAAATGTTTAGTTCTTTAATCTCAATTCTGTGAGTTTTCGTAATTTATTTGATCCGAGTTTTTCTCTCTTCTTTGTTTTAGGATTATAAGGAAATATTACATATGAGAAAATATTTTTTCTCTTTCATTATGGTTAAATTTTTATTTATTGAAATATTTTAATGAGTTGACACAATATTGAATTCAAAATACATAATGTTCATGTATATTTGTTCTTTTGATGTAATACGATGGCATATTTATGTTTATATTTGGTGGGCACTTTCCTATAATGGCATTGGCTACTCCTCAGGCCACAAGTGGTGGCAATTTTATTGTGGAGGCACCTAATAGGTTACATCCTACGGAGGTACAGACAATTTTACATCCATGCCTTCTCCGGGATTCAAACTCGGGCCCATCGAACAGTCAGGCTCCCCTAACCGCTATACCATCTGGGTGGTGTCTATTACAAATAAATAATTGCTAACAATGAATATGTTTGATCATTTTACAGCAACTGAGTGGATTGGAAAATCAGAAGGCACCAGAGACGTCATCATACATTTTATGCAAGAAAGAAAACAAATGTCAATTACACTTTTAAATAAGCAGGTTTTGCGAGTAATTGATTTGAAGCATGTCCAGTCAGTTGAATTCCAAGTCAGTGCAGGAAGTAATTTAGATTATGTTCTAGTGCGCATTGCCAGAGAGTATGATTTGGTATGATTTTTGATTTTAACTATTGTAAATTATTTACTGTAATTACTTATCTAGTTTAATAAATAAAACAAACTTCACTAAATTGCAGTTCGGGTGTCCACATTGGAATCAGCTGTAACTAAAGATATGCATGGCTCCAGATGAATTAAATTACTTATGTAAAATAATTCATTTTTGCTTTTAGACTCATGAAGTTCTTTCAATTTATTCTAATCTCCGAAAATGCTTTATGATTATTTTACACCTCTGCTTATATATTTAAACTTTATAAATGTTTCAGTGTAAAGTAATGAGCTACTTTTCTAAATATTTCTGTAATTTTGCAAGTAGCTTTGTATAATTCATTGAATTCCATTAGATGGTGAAAGACTGAAATCTCTTCTGACCAAAATTTCACATAACCTCTCAGATGTAAACAATGAGATTCACATTTAATGTCATCACAAAATCAGAAAACAAACTTTCTGTTTCCAAATTCACTCATAACTAGGAGACATTTTATGGCCATATTTGCTTTTTATTGAAATGAAATGTGATATTTGTGAATTTTCTGATTTAGAGCGAGTCCAATAAAGCTAATGCTCAATGACTGCACTTTATGCTAAATAAATAAATATTTCAAGAAAGCAACAATGTGGATTGTTTGTTAAATTTTGATACATTTTAAGACAGATGAAATCATTGACTATATTTTAAATCAGAGGTGTGCAACGTTTTTGGGAATAGTGCCACTGTCTTAAAAAAAGAAAAAGTTATATGTACCACTTCCATCTTTTCCAACAAATTAAAAATATAAAAAGGTTGAAAAAAATGTTATTTATAGTCTGGTTATGTTTTTTTATGTAATCTGAGTAATGGACATTTAAAAAATAATATAGTAAGTAAGACAAACATACAAACTAGGGTTTTATTGTTAATAAACATTTATAAAGGTTCAATCAGTTAGGTCATGTATAAAATAAATATTAATTATTTGAAACATTTAATCCTAAATAACTATTAAACAGTCAGTACTTAATTAATGTGCTTTATTAATATATAATTTTTTTAAGTCATCTATTTTAGGATTAGTTCTTGAAGAGGCTTCCAAAACTAGATGTTTTAGGTGCATATCAGTTAATCTTGAATGATATTTTGATTTTATTATGTTCATAATAAAAAGCACTTATTCGCAAACATATGTTGATCCAAACCTACAATAATATCTGACAGCCAAATCGTGTAAATTTGAAAAATTGCTTGCTATCAATTTCCAAAATTCAATATAATTTGGATCACTTGAAGTTGAAATAAGTTTGCTTTTCAGTGTAGTATGCTGCTGTAGGTCAATAATTTCGATTTCGATTTCAGCTGGGTAACAATTAACATCTTGCAGAGAAACTGAAAAAAGATTTGTGAAAAGATCAGCAATTTTTTAATCACCTTGAAAATCACCAAACCTAGCACTGAATGAATCCTGCAACATGGATATTAAATTCTCTAATCTATCATAGTTCAGAGCATTATTGACTTTAGTAGCTAATTCCTGAATTTATGTGAAATGTGTTAATCTTTTTTCTCTGAAATCAAGACAAAAGAGCAAAAGTTGTTAACAAAAAAAAAAAAAAAAAAAAAAGATGTATGACTAACTAGGATAGGAAAACTACAATCTTTTCCCTGTAATCTTAAATTTGAATTATTTAAATGCCCCATAATATCGGTGAGAAAAGCTAAATCCCATAGCCAATCTTCATTTTTGCATAACAAGCACTCACTGGGCAGTTCCTTGTTTTCTTCCAGATATTTTAAACACATTCCCTCAAATTCTATTGTTCAATTTAGTTGAACTTGGAGAACAGCACCTACTATAGTGTTACTATAGTGAAATTATTGAAGCTAAATTAAAATTCAAACTATGAAGCTAAACTAAAATTCAAAGAGTTATTATATTTATTTTTGTGTGTTTATGTTTGTATCTATTAATGGAGTTGATGCAAATGATACTATTATTTTTTTTTTTTTTAGTCTTTTTCAATAAGTCTTTGCATGCCACTGTTAAAACTCTGCTGTGCCACACTGTGGCATGCATGCCGTGGGTTAGCCATTCCTGTTTGAAATCAACTGAAAAAAAAATATCTTATCATGATAATAATACAAAAAGCAAGCATTTAATAAAAGTTTGGTTTTAGGAGAAAAGTATCTGAAATTTTTTAAACTGCAAAGCTGACCAAGAAACAAATAGCTGTATATATCTAATAAAATTTATTTAAAAAAACTAAAAACTCCTTAAATTAAAATAACCTTAGTTTTAAAACAAGCTACTATAAAATAAATAAAAAGTGTACCATATAGTACTGTAAAACTGTATTATTGTGCCACTATAAAAAGTGAAGAAAGAAGTATCTTTTATTATTTGTTTGCTTTTTATACTTATTTTCATTTTATGTGCGTTATTTATGTGTTCATTTATGTGAGTTTATTTCGTTTTTTATTTAGTCTAAATCTGATAATTTTTACTTTATGCTTTACAGACTTAAATTTCAACATTTATGGATTTCAGGCCTTCTAATGCATTGACATAGTTGATCATTCCACCAATTATTAAAATCCTTAAAATGACATATCATTCATCAGATTTATATTGCATAAATATATCATTTTAGATTTATGCATAAACTTAGTGCTTAAACTAGTATTAGGTTGACTTTTATTTATTGTTTGAAATGAATGAAACTATGATAAAAGTTGGTAAAAATAATATTAAAAATAATGAAATGAAATAGAGAAGATAAACTAAAATTATCAGGATATAAATGCAAATTTTCGTTTTATTTGACATTTATCATCAAAATACTTTCCCATTAAAGGATACAAAATAAGTATTATTATTTATTTTGAAATCAAAGTTGAATTATATGATTATATAATTATATGCTTGCATGAGAATGGTTTCCTTTAATAAATTACATAGTTTTAATTTTTTTAGATACAGTTTTGTTCCATAAGGTGCATATTTTTTATAAAATTTTCTTTTCGTTCATGAATATGTATATCATTTGCCTGTTTATCGATTTATGTTTCATGGAAACAAATATATTTAATTATAGCCTTCATTTATCATATACTTATTGTTAACATGAAAAAAATTAAAATTCTATATTTTTATTGTATTGTAATAAATACACTAAGTAATGTAGGGTTTGAATTCTGTATCAATTAATATATTTTGAAATATTTTAGGTTTTGAAATTTGAAAACCCAGATGAAAAGGAAGTTTTTATAGAAAAACTTGAAGCATGTCTAGGAAAAATTGGAATTGGACGTCAAAGATATGAAGTAAATGTGTCTCATATGTTGAAAAGTGCTGTTACTAAAGCTCATCGACAAGCACAGTTAGAAAAATTTTTCAGAGTTGTTTTTGCACAGGTAATTTTTTCATAGGTTTTGCATTTGGGGGAGGGGAGAGAAAAAAAGGTTTTTCTTCTGTATAACTTTTAACCTCATTTCATGAAATCCAAATTTTTCCAATTTTTAGCTTGTGTAAAATAATATCAATTTGTCGAAATGGTTTTGAACATTAAAATTTTAATGTATCTTATAATACATTAAAAATGTGAAGTAAAATAATTTTCTTAATGACTGTGAAAGTAATTTTTTTTTTTTTTTTTTTTTTTTTTTTTTTTTTTTTTTTTTTTACCGTGTTTCTGATATCTTGAGATATTTTGTTCACTTTCTGATATTTCATTAAATTCTGTGCAAATGTTTATTTATTGTTATTAACTTCCTTAAATGCTTAAACCACATTAAATTGACATTAATTTAAACAAAGGTAAAAGTTAACTATATATATAGATTGGTCATATATACACAAATAATATTTCAGTATGCATTTTTGAAGGTTTAAGACAGTATATTCTTCTTCAGCTAATAGAAAAGCAAACAGAGGAAAATCAACACAAGCTTAGAACAAAGCAAAATTGTAAAACAAATGTATCAATATCTTAAAACATTTAAGAAAATTATATAAATTAACAATTGTATGCTAGTTGTTATTAACTTTTATCTTTATTCTAATTATTTCACTTATTTTCCAACATATTTTATTCCCAATTTATGGTTATTTCTGTGATTCTGAAATTTATATTTTCTCCAGGTGCATGTCTATTTTTTATATAGTTTTATAAGACGATATGTATATGTTACCGTGGAAACCTGCAGAACTTTCTGGATGACCCAATAAATACTACCCACAATTTAAATTGCATACTTGGGAATAAATATCATTAGCTGCTAAAATTTTAAGTATTTTTAACAGCCACTAATTGCATAAATAATTTGTGTATGGAACCTTTGGTTGAAATAGCTCTTGTGAAATATGCTTATTGTCCATGTCATAAAAGAATTTACAAACTATTGGATTTCAATGTATCGAACTACAAATTGATATAGAAAATAATAATAAACTAAGCTAGAATGTCCTTCACAAAGGCATTCCTCCTCTTATTCAGATAGCCCTTAAAGTTTTGCCATAATCAAATAAACCAAATAAAATAATAAATTAAGAATAAGCTTTGACAGATATTTAAAATTTGAATTTGAACCTTAAAATTTGACAGCCATTAGATATGGCTGTCAAGATTTAAGGAAGACATTATTAGATCTAGTTTTCAAAATTTAAAAGAACTTATGTTATATGGAATGTTAGATGAAGCTATAAAGGCATGACAAACTGCAGCATATTTAGGCCATAGTTCATACACTTATGAATAGTGACAAACATATAAAATACTACAGTAAAGTAGAAAAGTTTGCGGAAGGAAACTCCTCATAAGTAAGAGATAATCGTTATGTCTACTGGATAGCTATAAAGAATAGAACTGCAATTTATTTACATTGTTTAAGCTTTGTTAAGCAGATACATAATTTGCATACATTTCCTGTTTTTGGTTTCTTACCTCATCATGTACTGAAGTAAATGCGACCAGTCATCATCTTTTGACTGGTATTCCACTAATGTCATTGCATCATAAGAGGCAGAATGAGGATCTCTTAATAGAGAAAATAATATTGCCTCATCTTCAGCTGTGAGTCATGTTTCTGTTCAAGTACTATGTGATGAGCATAACCACATGTGGAGGCAATCTATTATACAACTTAGAGCATGGATTTGTACAGTAGTCTCAAACTGCATGATCTGAAAGCAGCTGATGTGTCCAATGTTTTTAATAAAATAACCAAATTTTAACTAAATTTTTAATTTTTCACACTAAGTATTTATAAAGAATAAATAAACAATGCTAATTATAATAACAAAATGGGAAAATTAACATGTATATTAATTTCCTATCTGAAATCTAAAGGTTGGTGGTACCTGCAAGAAATTTTGTTGTATACATTTTTAATTCATTTGAAAACAACATTCAAAAGTTTTGTACAATTCCAAGCATAGGTATTGATATAAGGTGGATCCAAAGAAAAGCACAAACAAACAAGATTTATTAGGTGTACATTAATTTGTGTCTATCTGTATAGCAATATTAACTGCACAGCTGTGCAACCAACTGACTAGTTGATTTGCTCAAGAAAAGTATACATTATAAGTACCAGTTCTGTAGGAACAAATTAGAAGCACCAGAATACTAAAGCACTACTAATAACAACTAAATTTACTGATTGTACTGGCATGGGGAGTTCTCCCAGCTTAATCCAATTGCATAGTCTACTTGCACATACACACAGTGACAAAGCCTCAAACGATTCATTATGTCTCTTTTTCATTTAATAGCAATCTGACACATAAGCTCAGTCCATATCAATGTATCTCAAACTATAAGCACCATATTTACAGCAGATATATAACTGAAATGTATTCACTGGCCATGTAAAATTGCTTCGGGGTCCACATGCAACCCAGTTTGAGACCATGCATATAGTATGATTCCATGATGTTTTAGAGTAACAAGCATTTGTTTGTTATTAAAAGTAATTTGATTGTAATAAATTTTGTTAAGACTTTTGTGCCAGTATGACTACAAACACTGCAGAATATCACATTCAAGAAATTATTTTCAGTTAAAATGGTAAATTCCATAAAATTATAATGGAGACACAAATGCAGTCATAGTTACTTTATTCATATTCACACTTTTAGCTTTTCTTTATATTTAGTTGCTTACTTTGTGTACTGCAAAGGTATTTTACATTAATTTTCTTTTCTGGGTTAGAGGGAGTTTTTAACTTTAAACTTTTTGTATGGTCTCATAATTCAAACTTAACATTTGTAATGATTTTATAATTTTTATATTTTTCATGTCCTTGTCCCAGGTTTACTATTCCTTGTTTTAATTTTGTTATCATATAACAAGAACTGGAATTAAATGTTTTGATACGATTTCAACTGTTATTATGGTTATTTTGTTTGTACTTTCTCAAAAATGAGACTGATTCATGATGTTATAGATTAGGTTATAATTTTAGGAAAGATTATAAGAAATCTCTGTAAAATTTTCGATTTCAGTAATGTTTTCATATTAAAATTTAAAAAAATTTAAATAAGAGATTTAAGAACAGCAAAATATCAATCATACTACTAATATTTTTCCATTAAATAATGCACTCATGTCAAAAATTATTTTTACATGCATGAAACCACAGATTTCTCAGAAACTGTGAAGTATAATTTTATGACTTTTTCTAGAATGATTTGTAACATCACGACACATAAATACAATAAAAAATATTAAGAGCACTGCATATGATACAAAACCATGGCATGAAACAATAAAAATGCTAATAGTATGTAACAAGGAGAGTTAAGGGGGAAATAAGAATAATTCAGAAATTAGGGCTTATGAATTCAAAACAGAATATGATTTTGACTAGTATGCACATATCATAACATACTTTCATGCTGACAATAACTTTATTAATCACAGTTTTTAAGGAATTAAGTTCTATTGCTTGAATGTGATTTTCAGGGCATTTGACATCTCTAGAAGAAGCATACCTCTGTGTAAATGCTTTTTGGTATTGGGTTAAGGTAGCTGATTTTGCTGGCTACAATTTTTGCTCAATATCTTCATTCTCAAGAAATCCGGCAATTTTTGATGAGCATTGTCATCCATAAATAAAAGTCAGATCCATATGCACCTTTGAATGTCTTACATAAGGTTCTAAGACCTCATCCCAATATCTCTGACTGGTCATAGATCTGCTGCTGAAAAAAATTTAAAGCAAAATTTATAATTGGCTGCAAATTCGAAACTTAAGTAGACGTTCTGTCACGACAGGCAGTTATTGTTAGATATTGATCATTGACCATGTCCAGGCCTTCTTTCAATAGTTCCGGAGTTCTGAAATTGTTTCTGTAGGGGAAACATTTGTCTGTTTTGAAATATTCACACCTCTTACTGCTTCCATGCTTGTCTGCTCTGCTCCTAACCAACTGATGATTCACCACTTCACAGATTCTTCCAGGTGAATGGAGCCATAATGAACCATTTCGAGTCCTTACACACTGAAACCAGCTGTATTGCAGAAATTCACTCAGGTATTCACTTTGAGGAAAGTACTTGATTCATTGCTAGATGATGTAATGCCTTGATTTGCATATTAAAAGCTGTTTATCGCTTTTGACTAGAAAAGGCTAATTAATCAGACTTGTTTTTCACATATTCCCAGAAAAAATAGATTACATTGATTGGATATTTCTTGGAATATCATAACTTTTGCATATGTAAAAGTAAAATTTGGACATGAGTGTAGATTAATAATTCGATCCAAAGCTTACAGATTTATTATAAAATTATTTCTATAGCAAGAGAATTATTAATGCATTTAAGTTTATGACCATGATTTTGAGTTTAGAAAATAAAAAGAAGATTAATTAAACATTTTTTCATAACATATATTTTCTGTTCTTAGGCATTTTCAATTAAACATGATGATTCAGAAACTTTGGGAATAGATTATAATCAAGCGAAAGAAATTGTTAACATAGAACTCACTGCATATGAATTTGCTGAAGCACTCTCTTTGCGTCCTGAAGCTTTATTTGTTAAGCAAATGTTTGCTCTCATAGATGCCGATGGAAATGGCTACATATCATTTAGAGAGTTTTTAAATGTCATCGTTATTTTTGCAAAAGGTAAACTTTTATATATTTTAGTGAATAATAAAAAATTTTTTGTTCTTAATATTTAAAAACTTTGCCTAATTTCTAAAACTCAGTTGTCTAGAAATTTTCAGTTATATATATATATAATTATTCTTTTGCAATTTAATCACAGTACAGAAATAAATTTTCTTGTATTCTTAACATTTCTGCATTTTAGTGAAGTATAATCTTTATTTGATATATAAAATCAAAGCTAATGCAAATTCTAAATAATTAAAAACTTAGATGAGTATTTACAACATTTAAATAGCTGGATATTTTCTAATTCTTTAGTGCTTTTAGTATTTAGCTATTTTTCTTCTAACCTTAAGTTAGATACAATTAGTTCCTGCATTATATACATACTTCTCTTCTGTTGAGGTATTTCTTATACTGTGAAAAACTTATATTATATAATGTGATCTTTATATTTTTATGATAATATAAGGTAATTTTTTAATGTAACACATTTATGTATATTTCTAGGAAGTCCAGAAGACAAAACCAAACTTATGTTCGATATGTATGACATAGACCATTCTGGGAAACTCTCCAGACAAGAATTTTCGGATATGATAAGGTAATGTTTCTGTTCAAGTTATTTGTATTTGTTTCTCTAATTTTTATTTATTTCATTACATAAAAATATATACTTAATTAATTATTGATATCTCTTCAAACAGGTCCCTTTTAGAGCTGGCAAACCAGTCACTTTCTTCTAGTCAAATAGAAGAATTAATAGCTTCGATGTTCTCATCAGCAGGATTACAGAAGAAGCAAGAAATAACATTTGATGACTTTACACATTTATTAGCTGATCATAGAGAGGAATTGGGCTATGTGCAATTAAGTTTCAATAGTAAATATTTTTTTACATGATCATATGTTTTTCAAGCTTTTTTGTGACAGTAACTGAGCTATTCTAAAATGTGCATAGTTTTATTTATTTGAAGGTACTTTGCACTTTCCTAGAGACTCATTATGTTTCTTAGACCAAGTAACATGAAAAATCAACTATGTCGACATTGGAATTTGAACCACAGATCTAACTGCTAGCAAAATGTGCTAGTCGCTTGCAATATGAGGGCTCACTGGGCTTTGGGCAAAAATTTATTATATTTTCCTCAACTTGAAGGACAGAAGACACTATTTAAGTTAAGCCAGTTTTTGTCATATAAGAGTCAGTTTTTTTGCTTTATTTTTTAATAATAGGAATAATTATATGCAGTAACAGCTGTATAAATATTTAGTTTTGTAACTTTAACAAAATTCTTCTTTTTTAATTTTAAAAATGCCAAGACACAGAAATTTTCATAATTTTGGTGACTCTAAACATGTCCCTATGGCCAGAAAAATGAAAAAAAAAAATTAAAGGGCCTTATAAGAGCTTTCATGGAATAGATTAGGTTTAATAATACTTAATAAAAGTTATTTAGGTTAAGTCTAATAAAATAAGGCCTAAATAAACCTTATTTATAAAATTAATTTTTTTCATAAAAGTTAGTTTCTTTCTTTAGTTACTATTCAACAATGTATAGTGACTAAAGAAACTATCTTTTAGTACTTTATACAAGTCACTATTTTGAAATTGAAAAATTAATCAAAAGAGATAATTTGAAAGTATTTGATATAAAGAAATCTGAGAAATTTTCAGAAGTTAACGTACATTTTTTAGTGCTTGTAATTCCTTAAAAGGATTCATTCTGCCAAACCATTTATAAGCAAGGTGTGGTTTGTTATTATTATCATTTTTATTTTTATTTTCTCTTAACATGGAAATGATAGATGAAATTCGCCATGGCGATATAAATTCAAGGAAAAATAATTGATGTGTGATTTTAAAACTATTGAATAAGAGATACATTTATAAAGTTGAAATACAATTTTTTTACATTCTTGTTACCTTTTTCTCCATTATAATTTTTCATTTATTGCATATTTCATGTGCATTTTAAAATTCAAACCATAATTATTAATTTAAGGAAGTTTTCTATGAATAATATATAATAAAGATTTATCTTCATTTAAGTTGGTGATGGTTATAAAGCTGCTCCTGCTTCACGTAAAAGTATTGCAGTCAGAGCTGAAGAAACAATTCTGAGAGCTTACAGGTATATATTTGATACATGTTCTGTAAATTTGTTCTATTGTTTTTGATATCATTAAAAGTTGTTTCAAAACAATCTAATAAAGCTCATTAAGGATTATATTACAATCAACAAAAAACACAAATAGAAATCAGTGGTCATGATCCTTATTGTAAATAATTTTATATATTACTGGAATAATTCCAAAATTAATGAATTCCATGAAATTCCATGAAAAAGTCAAGTATTGTATTCATGATTGGTGCCGTATAGATAACTTGGATTTTCTGTAACTTGGGCTGGATTTCTCATTTTGTTACTAATATATACATGTAAATTAAATATATGTTAATGGCATCATGAAAAAGTATTGTATTTATGGCTGGTACTGTATAGATAACTTGGATTTTTTTGTAACTTGCTGGATTTCTCATTTTGTTAGTAATATATATGTATATATTTTAAAAGCTATATATATGCATATATATATTATATAATAAAAAATGCATTTAAAATTCATCAAGTATTGTATCCATTGCTAATACTGTATATTTAAATTATTACTTAAAATATTTAAACTATTACATAGATCACTTAAATTTTCTCTAACTTCCTGGATTTCTCATTTTGTGACTAATATATATATATACATACACACATATTTAAAAGCTTTCTCTCTCTTCTTATGTATTATATGTGTGCGTGTATGTGTAAAATAAAAAAATGCATTTAAAATTCATCACATATTCAATTCAGAATAAATCACATGCAAAATCAAAAAAAAAAAAAAAAAAAAAATCAGAAGCACAGTGACAGACTGCTAGAAATAGGGATGCAAAATAATGCCAAAACCAAAAATGAAATATGAAATTTATATCTTTCGCTCCATCGTCATCAGGGGGTTGGTGCAATGAAAGAAGTAAATAAATAAAACAGCTGGTTTCTGAACTGACAGAGTAATTATTAAATACAAATTAAAGTTAAAATTTTAAAATAATCTTAGAAAAACAATTAAAGTAATTTGTGTCTTTATCAGTCCAACCCCTACAAGCTGAAGTAAACAACGCAAAAAGTTGCAGAATTATAGTATCAGAAACATAGACAAATTCGAAACGATTACAAAAAAGAAAAAAAAAAATAGACAAATTTTAAACAATTACTTTGAGTAGGTCAATTTCCAAAAACAAAACCATATGCAATTTTTTCATCCAATATTTGAAAAAACAAAACTATACGCAAATTTCGAAAATATGCAGACTGATTTAAAAACATAAATCGTAAATAAGCAATAAAGCTTTAAAAATTTAGAATATTTTTAAATTTTAAGTTTTTACTTTTTAAGCTTTATCGCTTGTTTATGATTTATGCAATTTTTTATGTCATTTTCAACTTGCCATGAAGGATTCGTTAATTAAGTCAGAACAGTTCAAGGAAACAAGTTTAAATGAAGTGTGTGCAGAAAATGTGTGTAATTTAATAGGCCATCAAAGGAAGTCATGTGGTGTCTATATCAGATTTTTTTTTACTTTGTATTTATTTATATACATATCCATATTTATAACTATAATACAATAATGCTTGATGAAGCAAGATATGAAAAAAGAAGAGAGATGTTAAATAGTATTTTAGATTGTTTGTTTTATTTATACTTTATATTTTTTGTTTGCTTGATTAGAATTGTAATCTTCTTTTTACATTAAATATCTTTTAATCAAATGTAAGCCATAGATTTTCAAATATTCTTTATATTTCCAATACAGATTTTTAATTGGCATTGGTTGAACTCAGTTCATTTTTTATTTATTTTTATTTTATTTTATTTTTGTATATATTTTATCTGTATGCTGAAATATTCTAGTAAAAGATGTTTTGCAATTTTGCACATATTTTGCATATGAGTATGCAGAGCATGCTGCATTTTATTTTCATGAATTTTGTACCTAAAAAGGTATGAAACATTCCATATTAATTCCTTTCTGTATTTTATGGAAAGTATAATGAATATTTTAGTAACTCGACTTTTTTTTCTTTATGAAGACCATGCAAAAATTTTAATTTAACAATTTCATTTCATTAGCATCATTCGTTTTAAGGTATTTTACTTCTATTTTCAGAATTGTTCTTCCTAGTGGTGAAATTTCTCTCATAAAATTATCTACATTGTGTAGAAAAACTTTCTAATTAGAAATACATGCTTAGGATCAGTAGCTACATGAAGCTTATATTCATTTTATTACAAATGCTCTTACAAAATTTTGGATATGTGACATTCTCTAGATGCTGTAAACTTTAATAAACTACAAAGATAATTTTGGAATTATTCCTGTTTGGTGATTTAAATATATATATAATAATTTATTTACTAAAGAAATATTGATTATATTATCTTCTAATATAATTTCATAACAAGAATGTATCAATATGAGGGAACCCAGAAATAGGAAGTTTAATTCCGAAAATTGTTTTTTAAAAGGAAGAATGTAAATCATGAAAAAACTCTTTTTTTTTTTTTTTTACTTGAATTTAAATCATGAAAAAGAGTTTGAGAGGTATTTGAATTTAAATCATGAATAACAAAAATTCAAACTTTGAAAAAGGAAATTAATAAATCAAGTAATTATCTTCATTGATCGGAAATTAGTTGACTTTTCAAGGGGAACAAACCAACTCCCATTCAATGAACAATAATTAATAAATGCGAAGGTGTTTCTTCTCTTACTCAAGTAAGAATGATGATGCCAAACTGGCAAATTAAGTTAGGCCAAAATTGTAGTTCCATTCAATGATTGGATTTTTAGAAGAATTTTAATTCATTCAATATATATATATATATATATATGTATATGAATTAATCCTAGTATGCAACTACCAAAATCAATTTAAATGTAATATACATATTTATATGAATGGACTTTCATGAATGGTTATGTCAGTATTATGCAAATTAAACTAATTAGGATGCATAGTTGTGTATCATATATACTCAGTGCATCATTTTGTGTTATTCCTGTTACTACATAATATCTTAAGTCAGCTGTTCTCAACCTTTTGACTAATGCTTACCATCTAACAAAAATTATAAACCTTTAGTACCACCACTGTACTACTACCACCATGACTCTTGAACAAAGCTCAGATTGCATAAATTTACGAGTGTTAGAGAAAAAAACTCAATCAGAAAGTTGAGGTTTTAATTTTTGAATTTAATAGTTAAAAATACTTTGCTTCTTTGCGTACCACCTATTTTTCTCTTGCGTACCACCGGCTGAGAACTCCTGCCTAAAGTTATTAAGTAGTAATATAAATTGCATAATTTAGCATTTATATTTGTTAATTTTCTTAAAATATTTTTCAGTGTCATCGGAGAAGAAAATCTATTGAAGACCAGTAAACCTGCTTCTCATCTGCGTGTTGAAACAAAACCTGTATTTTATGAAAAAGATCCAACCAAACAACAAGTAAATCGAATAATCCGATTCATAGAAAATAATACTTCCCATATATTTTGGACCATATTATACACATTAGTAATACTTGGAATATTTATTCAGAAAGCGTATTGTAAGTATTTTCTACTTTTTAATTATAATCTTAAAAGCATATTTTCTTTTGGTATTTAATTTAATTAATATAACTGTTTATATGTATGTGTGTTTTATATATATATATTATATGTGTTATACAGGGTGCCCACTAAAGTCAGGTACCACACGTTTAACTGCCGAACATCTAACTAACTATAGTCATGAAAGTTGTGTCTAGGTGACCATGAAGCTACTAGATGAGAAAGCTTACTGTGCCACCTGGTGGAAAATGGCGGAGTTACCGTCCTTATCTTGAAAACGGTACGAGATAGGAAAAAAATAGTGAATTACAAAGTTATAGATTATCTTCAGTTTAGTACGGAAAGACATCCTGTTGACATGGTGTTAAGGACAGAATGTTTTAAACACGTATTTGTTTGTTCACAATTTCCTACACTGTGATGTGATGAAACGATCTTAGAAAATAAAAAATGACTAGTTATCACAGCTACCTTCATTTCCTATTTTATTAATATAATTTATAGCTTTTGACTAGCTACCTTTATTTCCAATGTTCAGACTTCACTCCATTATCTGAAATGAGCATCTGGATCCTTGTAGAACTTCATGTAGCATATCAGGTGACATGTTTGCACAAGCATCTGGAATACGTTGTTGAAGTTTCTTCAATGTTTGAGGAGATGTTGCACACACCTGCTGTTTGAGGTATCCCCACAGGAAAGAGTCCATTGGAGTCAGGTCAGGTGATTGTGGAGGCCACTCTTCGAAATCACCATACCCGATTATTTGTTCTTCGAATTCCTCCATCAGGTACTACTTCACTTATGACGCCTTGTGTGCAGGTGTGCCATCATGTTGCAACCACCCATTCTGAAATTGAAGCAACGGCAGGTTCTCAACAAAATTTGGTGTTACATCTTGCAGAAGTTCTAAGTATCATGATGCCGTTAACATACCCTGGTAAAATATTTGACCGATTAGGCTGTTATTATAAAGTCTACACCATTAATCAAGAACCATATTTGATGTCGAATGTTGGCAGAATGATGAATTTTTCAGTCCTTAGTAATGGGTGTCCTGTTTATTGTATATTTCATTCTACGAAACACATGCTTCATCCATTCACACTATATCTGCGAAGAATGTTGGCTGGACCTCTGTTTAGTTCATGACGAAGTTGCACCATGAAAAACGTCTCTGGACATCCCTGTCTAGGAATGCCTGATTAAGTGTTGGACGGTATGGATAAGTACTTAATTCATTTAGGATTTTTCAAACGAGACTTTTTGAGAGGCCGCAGTTTTTACTTATCTCTTTTGTGCTGCTGTTTGGATATGTGAGGGCGTATGAGAAGATATCTTCCGGTTGTACTTTCCGCCCTACCTTAGTTGGTCTGCCAGATTGAAATCGGCTAGTTTCCCAACCTGTCTCCCTTAAATGTTTCATAACTTGTAGTATGGTTTTGTATGAAGGATGCGGGCGTGCAGGAAAAAATTGCGATACAACCGCGCTGCCGATTGTGCCTTGCGCCCACATTCACGATCACGAACCATCTCATAGAAATTATCTTTTGAAAATCGCTCCCTGACCATCACCTTCAACATGCAAACCTGACGAGATAACTCTTTTACAACTGTCTCAGATGAACAGGTGTGACGTTTCATACACTATTTGCACAAATTCGCACATCAAGATCAAGTTGCGTTGAGTTAATGCATTTTGGGAAAGGATTGTGCACGATCTGCATATTTTCTACTTTGTTTGTAAAGACAATCAGTACAAGGATGCACCCCGTGGGTTTTTGAACCAAATTCCTCTCAATTATGAAATACAAGCGCTGCCACTGTGCGCGGGTTCATTTTTTGTTCGAAAAATAATCTTTTCTCCTTTCAAGTTTCGGCAGGAAATCGCGAAGAAAAATATGTGCGTTTTCAGGGTTCTATTTTTAGCATTTATATTCCCAAGGCGTCTTTCCGTACTAAATCGACGATGCTGTACAACTTTGTTATTCACTTTTTCTTTATATCTTGTGCCATTTTCGAGATAGGGATGCTAACTTCGCCATTTTCCACCAGATAGCACTGTACGCTATCTCATCTAGTAGCACATAGACACTTTACTATGCCTAGATACCACTTTTGTGATTATAGCTGCAGCCGTTCGGAAGTTAAATGAATGGTACCGGACTTTAGTGGGCACGCTGTATATATGTCTGTGCATATGAGGGATGCTTTTTCGTTACTTTTCCAATGAAGCCATAACTTACATTTTGGTGCCATACTAGCTCTTAGAACATATTTCTTTTTCCACACCTGTGGCTCAATATCAGATAAATAGGGAAATTAGTAACAGCAACAAGGAACATTCATTCTCTAATTTCAGGACAATGTCCTCGAATAACTTATTGTTGGGGAAACACAACCTGTATTTTTTTAATAATTTGGCACAATTTTGTTGTGATCAACAATTTTAAATTTAGGAATTGGCACAGATACACCTTGCACACATACACACAAAAAAAATGGGACAGTCTATATCTCCTTTTGACTGATTGTCAAAATTTAACTTTGTTTTCCATGTCTCTAAAGCGCGGATTGATATTCATTATATATTGAATTATATATATGTATTTCGCAATTACTCAAATTTTGCGTAGATATTAAATTTCGTAACTTTTGGTGAGAAATTTAAAATTTAATTTTGGTATATTTTTTCCACTCTTGACGATCTTCTTAATTTATAGCAACATATTTTCCTTTCCTTTTTTTATTGTACTTGAGCGAAAGAAAAGTAATCGCTCATACTTTCAAATAATTTTAACAAAGTGCAAAAGCGACATTTAGCGCTATTATCGATTATAGCAAATATGCCAAATTTTAAAAGGTGCCAATATGTAAATTCAGATATATCTTAGGAAATTTTAATAAAAAACTCCAGTTTTTTGCAGTTATGCTTAGGAATACATCCACTTTAAGATGATGGTTAAAATTTTATAGGTTATTATTCAAAATTGTTTTCAAAAAATTTATAAAAAGTATTTAACAATACAAATTTTAAAAATAAATCATAAAAAGGGTGAATTTTATTTGGAATGAACCTAAAAATTTCGAAATGTGAAAGGAAGAATCAAGTAAGTTTAATAAAAAAAAGAGATATATATTAAATTCAATTAACATGGAGGAGCTAGAATTTTGAGAGCTCATTTTTTAAAACGACTCGTGCGATTTTTACAAAACTTGGCATATTAGCATGATTTGAGTTATAGAATTGAAATGTGGAAAAAAATTGGTATGTTATTTCAAAAAAAGTCCAATACATGCTGTAAATCTAATATATGTCCTAAGTCGCGCTTTCGAAACATGGAAAACGCAAGTAAAATTTCGACAATTGATCCAGTAGAATGGGAGATATAAAATTGTCCCATTTTGGGGGGGGGGGGTAAGGTATTATATTAGCATAACCACTTGAGGAGAAGTCATCAAATTTTCAGAATGTGCTAAATTCTGATAACCATGCATATAATAATTCTTCAGTTTTTAGAAGCATTTCCATGTGTTCTTTTGATCATATTCCAAGTTCCAGTAGTAGGTTTTTGTAGTCAAATTGTCTTATTTAAGCTTAGTTTTAAAATATGAGAGTTTCAGCTGCAGTAAAATTTTTGTGGAATACATATTTTACATAAAATCACTAATGGGAACAACAACTGCTCTATTCTTAAAGCAACTGTCACAAAATTTCCGCAAAGACAAAAGAAACAAAAACATTGCAAGTAAGTTTATTGATTAATTTTTCAGGATAAATACCTAATGAAAATGTTAAATAGCTAAGTAATAATTTTTTTTTCACTTATAGGTCACTATTTTTCTTCCTGTAAAAACTCACCAAGCTTAACATTGGTAGTTGTGTATACATAAATGCCTTAGTACATATACCAGTATGTTGTGATTCACATCAAGCAAGCTTTGGTTTTTGAAAACTCAATAGATGTTAACCCATGACATCATCAATAAATGAATGGTATGACAGTAATGGAAAGAATGCATGATTCAACAAGCTATGTCTGTGTTTAGATATCTTTTGCTTTCCAAGCATAACTATTTTGGCTTAGAGTCGACATTTAATTCCATGACATGTTGAGCTCAATGTTTCTTAGGGAAGAATGTTTCTTTCTTGAATTTGAGTTTTGCGAAAAGTTGAAGATAGCCACTTCTTTATCTTCTGCCAAATCCCACGTCGTGCAATTTATTGCAATAAAAAAATTAATAAATAAAACTGATTAGATGAAAAACATGGCTGTATGAGTGATGATTTATAACGTAATTACTAGCGTGAAGGAAGTAAAATCAAACTGTGCTGAAAAAATGTGCCAAAACAAAAACAGTACTAAGTGATGTGGCTTTAACAGAACAGTACTGTTGTCTCACCAAACCTTGAAAATAAAACTGAGATGGAAGAAAAATGTCTTAAAGTTAAATGTCATGTCATTTGTTGTAGCACTTCATTCAAACTTTCTTTTGTGTGTTGTTGTATCTAATCATTCTAATAGAATCAATGCTCCAGCCACATACGAGACTCACACTTTTATCAGATTTCTTCAGACTGAACTCCTAGATGGAACTGATGTTCATCACTAGTTGTGTAATGTCTCTGAAAAAAGTGCTATGCATAAATCGTACTTTTAAAAACAACCACCAGATATACATGATGGCAAAGGAAAAAACTATTGATCTTGAAAATTAAATTCTGTAAATTATTTGATGGGTTGTTTCAATGGCTAGGCAACAAGCTTCTGTAATAAAACTGTAGAATAACAGGTAGCAGTTTATGATAAGCTTACCTAATTCAGAAGGATTACATTAGTATACTCGTATATCAAAATTTTTTACTGTATAGGGTAAGCTTAGAAGAAACATCCTGGTACAAATGATTATAGCAAATAAATTAGTTGGCACATATTTATCTGTAATACATCAAAATAAACATTGTACAAAATATTCATATTTCTTATCATGCATTACAAAAGTTTTATGCTAGATCCTTTTGTCACATGATACACAACTAATCTTTAGTCCATTTCAGTCCACACATGTTGAAAACATAACAAGTATGACTGACACGATGGCATGAATAATGCAAATTTTGAGTGCACCGATGTTAGATGGCAATAGCAGCAAAAAATGAATAAATAAATAATAATTATACCTTTAAAATACTCTTACAAAGTAAAAAGAAAAAATTCTCATGGAATGAGGTCAGGTGACTTTTGAGAACCAGGCAGGGAATCCATTGTCATTCACTGCTTTGGTTTAGTTATTTGTCACCTTATAAAAGATTCACATAGAGAATTTGTAATGCATGAGCAGAAACTTGGAATGCTGAAGTTGGATTTAATTGCAGGTAAATATTTGCTAATTTAATTGTTTACTACAAACATTTATTACATGAGGTTTCTTTTTTAACTTCCGTGTATACCAAGACCTTTTCCTCCATTCCCTTTTTTGTTTCTCCGCTCTTTGGAACTTATTTAAAAAAAAAGTCCTCTTATGTAACTATACACATTATTAAATATAATTTTTTTTAACTGCTTAGATTATTCTGTTGAAGCTGAACATACAGGTCTGCGAAGAATAGCTGGATATGGACTTACAATTACACGTGGTGCTGCAAGTTCCATGATGTTTGCTTTTGCAACCATTCTGTTAACAATGTGCCGCAACACTATCACTTTTTTGAGAGAGACCTTTTTCCATAAATACATTCCTTTTGATGCTGCTATTTCTTTTCACAAGTTCATTGCTTTCTGGGCACTTATATTTACTAGTAAGTGTAAATTCATAAGTAATTTCTTATGTTGTTTTAATTGAAATTTTTTGCATTTTGTGTTAAGTTATATACTGCATTTAGATTTAAATACTTCAGAACAGATGCAAATATTTAAATATTTTTTAAATGTATGCTTGCTTTTAAGCATACAGAAATGTTGTGCTTCAGGGAAAAAGAATAATTTTATGTGCTTTAGAAATATATCATGCTATGGCATGTTCATAGCTATGGTAATACTTAATAATGACTATTTTATGAATTAAGTATTTGAAGAGGCTAGGTATTTAAGTGTCCTGTAATTTTCTGTATGGTTAGCTAAAATACAGACAGCTTTTCAATTAAAAAATTTTTCATGACGCCATTTCTATATTTAAGCAAGATTGTTTTACCACAGTCAGTTAACTAATCAATTCATTTAAATAAAGCTTCTCCTTAGCTCTTATGAAAATTATTTTTATACAGGCTCATATAGCAGATTCCTGTAGAGTTCTGTAGGAATTTCTATACAGCTCTCTTAGCCTCTACAAAAAGTTTTATAAGGGAGATATAATATCCACTGTATTTTCATAAAATCTCAAAATAATTCACATTGGAATAAAACTTCAAATGTGTTTTTGAAAAGAGAATGATTTTTATAGGCTTATGATTAACAAAGCAAATTAACAATACCAAAAATATCATCATGTAAAGGGCAGAGGAAATATTAATGATCACGAATGAAGTAAACAAATTATATTTCTAACTATTCATCAGTCTTGGAATAGTTATCATAATGGATAACAGAAATTCCTCCCAATGCAACAACCAGGTACAAGAAGTCAAAATGAAGATCCATATTTTAGCAAAATATATTGCATAGTATTTACAAAAATCAAGATAAATTCTTTATGATAAGTAAGATTCTTAAATAAATTCTTTATGATATGATTCTTAAATAAATTCTTTGAGTTGGACTGCAGTAGAATGTGGTACAGGATCAACTGTCTCTCTGCTAGCAGATGACTGACATGCCAGATCAAAAATTGTTTTTTTATCTCTTGCTAGTACTATATAAATAATAATTTAATCAAGTTCTTTGCCTTTTGATCATGCATCATTGTGAATTTTAAGCCTTGTTTACACTACATCAGTGCTTATTGTATCCATGTAGTACATATTTGTCTCTGCAATGTCAGGACCAGTAACTGTGTTGATCATATGCTAGTGTTAGTCTGCGTGGTATTGGTCCAATACTTGTATCAATCCTGTCTCATTTGAAAGGACTACTATTATCAACCCTATATTGTGTCAATTATATGTCTATGATACACAATACAGTGTCAAATATATGTGAACCTATGAAATGCTAGTGTCAATGGTGTTAATTATATGCCTGTAAAAATTATTTGCCAGTGACAAATATACATTAATCCTCATACATTATTATAAAAATTTAATTCTATCTTGTTAGTCTTATGCCAGAAATTTGTAACAGTCATATGTTGGTGTCAGTTCTATGAAGTGTTGATCCTGTTAATGTAAATCCTTACAATAAATGATGGTCATATTTGTATCTTACAACTGTTATCTTTGAACATATTTCAAGTCATGCATTTTATTATGCATTTAGAATATGGAATTTTTACATTGTTTGTCATAAATGTATTGCTGCAGTTATATTACCATAAGCTAGCAGAATAGTAAGGATTCAGTAATTTGAAAATTACAAGCCGAAGCATGGTACAATAGTATAGAGGTGCATCGGAACACATGGGATTTTTTTTTAATATGAAAGATTTTATTGCTAAATTAGTTATATTTTTATCAGATCATTCATTTATGAATCCCTTTTTCTTTGATAAGTCCTCAGCAGTACATTTCAAACTGTTTATATCAGAGTTCAGCTATGTGTAATAAGGGACAGCATCTTTTCCTGTACTAATACTCCATAGTACATCTTTTCCTGTACAATACTTCATAGTAACATTACACAATGGAGGAAAAAAAAATACTCCATAGTGTAATGTTGATGTAAGATAGAATGCTTAAGCATGAATTTTTCCATCATATGACAGAAATTACAGTTGACACTTTTCATTGCTGTGTAAGTTGTTGTTTCACATCTGAAGGCCATTGTCATGAATGATGTCTGTCCATCACACTGAATATTTATAACCTTAAAGGGCCATTCTTACAGGGGTTATCACTGTTCCACATGTTAAGAACTCTGCCATATGCATGAAATTCACATTTTTCAAATGAAGGTTGTTTTTTTTTTTTTTTTTTTTTTTTTTTATTCCCAGTGTCAGTTGTGTTAGATGTCTCTGTCCATTAGCTAAATTAGCTAGTCCATAAACTCTAGTTTAAATTACTACTTCATTGTTCTGTACAGTGGTTAGCAATACTGCCTCCAATATGGCTGAGCCAGGTTCAAAGCTCAGAAATGGCATAGGTCTGTGCTGCATAAGGGCACTTAATACTAGTGACCCCAAAGCCTTCTTGAGTGTTTTAAGTAGTAGAGTAAGAAGGGTGGGAGACCTTCAAATCCATCTCCACAAAGAAGCAGAGCTTCAGAACTGGTGATGAAATTGTGGTATCCCATCCACTTTTATCTGTACCTATAAAAACTTCTGATCCAACTGAACCACTATTTCTTGCTAAATAGTATAACTATTCTGGTGATAAAATATTTCATATTAAAAAAAATCCCATGTTGTTCTGTGTATTTTGGGCAAAGTGGCATCGTGCCACTGTTTATACTTTTCAAATTATTCAGTTTTTTACTCAGTCACCCAGTACATTGGTGCTTGTACCCTTATTTGCTAAAAATGGTGTAATTCATGCAAATGGAACTAAATTTTTGTTTAAAATATTAATTTAAGTATTATTACAGTATTATGGTAAATTGTAAGACACGTTAAATATATAGCATAATTTACCACAAATCTTATAATTCAAGCAAATGTTATCATAGAATCTTTTTTTTTTTTTTTAATAAGACGGATATATTACAAAATAGCCAAAAATTTGTGCGATTTCTGCTAATATTTAATTCCTTTTAACAAAAAGCTATTTTAATCTTGGAATTTATAATTTAACAAGAATAAGTTAAATTGATTATGGGTTCCTCAAAAGGACTTTCTGCAGTTGTAATGGCTCAACATGTTATTCGTATATTTTATCTTTGAAAGATTATAAATATTTTCTGCATCACAAAACTGGACAAAATGTTTCAGTTTTATATGTAGACAACTAGCATAAAATATGTTTTTAATCTCTTTCAGCAATTCATGCAATTGGACATGGGATAAATTTTTATCATATTGGTACACAGACTGTTTCAGATCTTCAGTGCCTTTTCCCTAATTTTCATTTAGAGTAAGTGGGTCAACAACATATAGTAGTTCAGTATTCCTTTTATGAATTCACTAATGAGTTATTTCACTTCACTACAATATGTACTGAATATCTTTTCTGTGGGTCACAAACTTAAGAACTGTTTGTCTAATAATATAGTCAAGGAATATATAATTTTTTTAATGAGAAGAAACTAAGTAATTAATTCTAGTTTTAAAAATTATATTCTTAGATCAGTACATAATTTATATGACTTTAAAAATATATTATTCACTGCTTCATATTTATAATGTATTTTGTTTTTCTAAATGAATAATAACTGTCTGTTCATTTCAATGCATGTATTGGTAGTAATGTCAGAATAAGAGTTAATGCAAAATTTCTATGCCTTTCATATTCTGTTTCCTGCACAGTTATTTAATTTTAGCTCTGCTAGGAAGATGTAATAAATTTATTGCATAAGTAATAGCAAATGTAAATGTGTTAATAATCTAGCAGTTACATGAGTTCATTCATTCTAGATTATCAGATGTTGTGTACATTTAGCACTGAAGCACATAATGCACAGAGCAGTGGTTTGCAGTTTTCATTGCTTCAGTCTTGTATTCTCACCGTGTGTTAGAATGTCTTTCCTCTTTTCCAAGATCATTTCTTTCAACTATTTTTTTATTATGAAGTGGTGCATTTAAAATAATAGATAAAAACTAAAATTTATATTCTATTATTCTTCAAAGATACATATAAATTTAAGATTCATTATACGTAATAAATATGCATTGGTTATTTCATAAATTATTACTATGTTCAATAATTATAATCAAAGAAATTTTTTACTAATTTTGCTTCACTTTCTTGATTAATAATTATAATTTTTCTGAATCTTTTAAGGTTATATGAATATAATAATGCCTTAGCTGTTCTCTAGCATTAACTTTTTATTACAGTTTGAGTCTATCAGTCAGATTTCGAGCTTTTCCCTCTCCAAACCATGAAATTAACTCTTGGGAATTCTTCTTTGGCTAAAGATTCCTATAATAAAACAAATAATATTTCTTGAAAATTTTAATAAAAATATATCCATAACCGAAGGCCATTCAGTAAGTTTTTAAGTATAGTCAAACAGTACTTCTCTACAGTGAATGTTTAATCATTTAAGCATTGAATTCCAAAAAAAAAAAGTTTTGTCACTGCTGTGAAACTATACCTGAATGGCACCTTTTGTACGATATCATCCCTTTAATATAAATTCCATATGGAGGTAGATACAAAAATTTTCTGCCTAATATATTTCTAAAACAGAGAAATTTTAATAGTTTATTAAATTAATAATTTAATAAACTATTTTAATAGTTTATTAAAATGTTAATACTATATATTTTTTATATTATTTAATGAGCAAATATATACCCCTAAAAAGGTAATCTGAAGCTCATCCTTAAAGTGGTCTTTTCTCCCCACTATCATCATTAAATATTTTTCCACCAAGGTCACATTTCAGTTTCAAGAACAGATAATAATCATTTAGAGTTAAATATGAGTGGTAAGGGGGGCATCAAGCTCACTCTGTTTTTGTACAGTATTGACAGGTCGCTATTTGTGAATGAATTGGTAAAAGAAGTCAGGTACTAATCTTACAGAAACTTTGCCTATGTGAACACATTCATAAACAATGCACAAAATAGTTATTTCAGATACATTCAATCTTGCTACTATATCCTATCACTTAATATTTTGCCTTGGACAGCAGTATTTTCTGATGTCAATGCCTGTAGTTGTCAGCTTTTACAAGAATCATGCTGTATGAATTTTTGGCTGTACCAAACTGTTTTACTTATTCCTTCACCGTAGAATACAAAAACGACAAATCAGCATACATATGATGCAAGCATCTTATTCCAATCACAGAATGATACTCAATTTTAAACATTTCATAACAAACTAGCACATTCTTTATTCAGTAAACAGTCAGACAAAAATAAATGCATATGATTTCTTTATTGAAATGCCCCACTGTTTAAGACCACTGAATACTGATAGTTCAACATGGTTTGAGTCTGATCCCAGGTGAATGGCTGCATCACTATTTTTTTGTGAATTGCTTTGCATGTAACATTAATATGAGACAGTTTCCCCCATAAAATCCCCCACAAAGCCATCCCACCTCTTAGGCAGATAGTTGTTGTGCCTTTGCGATATTCAAATAACTTAACCTAACTTTCTCCAGTGAAACTTTCAAATGTTCATTTAGATTTCCATTACATGTCTGCAAGAATTTGTTGCCAAATAATTTTTTATATGTGTGGCCAAAATTTTAGGATTAAGTTATTCTGTTTTAAAACAAACAACAACAAAAAAAAAAAAAAAGTCATTCAAACTCAAATTTGATAAACAGTAGAGAGGAAGAGAACAATAAAATCTTCATTGGTGAATGGTAGTCTGGAAAACCTAAACCATGAACACAGATGTATTATTGTGCAGAAGCAACATTTTTCTATTGAGCTTTCCATGCTGTTTTTCCCTTATGGCCTGCCAGAGTTGAGTCAAGTAGGTATAGAAAGCAGCTGTTATTGCATTGTCATGCAGCAAATAATCTAAGAAAAATGGCCATCTCAATATAACCATAGCTAAAATTTTCCCAATGGACTTCTATATTTTGAGCTTGTGATTTTGGGAAGATCTATACTTGTATATCATGTCTATTTATTTCATTTCCAACTCACAGTGGTAAATCCACATTTCCTGTACCATCAATTGCCATGAATAAAACTTATCTGTATCAGTATTATTATGGAGAATATCAAAAACCATTAACCTGAGTTTTCTTCATTTTTAGTATCATTATTTGAGAAACCCACCCTAACCCATGTTTGGCATATGAAGCTTTTCGTGAAAGACTTTTTCTGCTGACCCATAACTGAAACTTATTTCCTTCATAATCAGAGAAACTGTCAGACATTGATTTGTGCTGGTGATATGGTCTTGTTTACATTATCTTCAAATGACATTTTCCCTGCCTAGAAATGGCATTCCACCTCTTGATGATGATACTTGAAAGTGCATGATAGACTGTGATCAAATCTTCATGAATATTTACGAGTGTCATGCTTTCATTTACCAAGAACTCACATCTGTGAATCATATTTGTTGTTTCTAATATTCACAGAATTAATAAACTGACAGATGTTTGCCACCTCATAAAATTCATTTGATTGTTACAAGTGATCTTTGCATTCATTGTTTTGTATTTCAAAGTGGATGCAATCATTTCAATGTGGTTGTCATGCCATAAGTATCACATTATAGTCAGCACTGGACTTGAAGAAATTTATATAAATTCTCTGAATATAAATGTTCATTTAAAATATTCAATGTATTAAAATTATTAACTTTTTTTATTTTAGCCCCCAGAAGCCTCCAAAATTCCCGTACTGGCTGTTTCAAACTATCACAGGTAATAAAAATTGTCATTTATTCTTTTATCTATATATGTTATCAAAGTACCTGCAATGAACCAAAATGAGCAGCATTTAAATATATTAAAGTAAGACAAGTAATGAATTGAACTTTGCTTGCAACAGAAGAATTTGGAGATCTAAAGTAGTCAGAAATGATATGTGAAATATTTAAAAAGAAATAAGGCAAAATGATTGAGAGATATAAATTTTTACCTTTCAAAATTAAAATACTAATATTTTATGTTTATTGGCAAAAAGAGGGTTGTATGAGTGATACTAATTATGAATGCAAAGTGTTTAGAATTTGAAACTATACGTAAACCAGCATGTTACAAACTGGCAAGTATAATTAAAAGAATATCACCCAGCTATCTATTCTGACTTAAAAAAATTAAATGATTTGATTACCAAGATGATATAATTTTGTATATGTGTAATGTTTTGTTGCATGAAGTATAATATTTATTATCAAATTTTAGCATGTATTACTAAATATATTACATAACATATTATAATAAAAATGTGATTTCATTGTGAAATAATCAAGATTTCCTTTCTGTTGAAAAAAATAATTACATGAATAAATAGAGTTTAAAAATACAGACACAGTTTACTGTGCTAACTTATCCCATTAGGCATATATTTTGATTATAATGTTTAGCTTTTTAATATGTTTGCCTGATTTACTATCATAACATTGAAGTTCCTATAAAGTAAAAGACTATTTTTATAAATATAATTTCTATCAGAGGCGTTTCATTTGTAATTTACTTTCTTGGTATTTTGCTATATGTCATTTACTTTTTATCTTGCCGCTCCTCTGTATTTATGTGTATGTTATATAATCAATGTCTAACCTTCCAAGAGCTTAATAACTAATCCTATAAAAAGTTTTATTAATGCAGAATGATGCATGTGTGCAGCATTTAACAGCACTGCCATATTTTCATGCATTTTTGAGTACTCATATAACAACAGAATACTCACATGTACCACCATACATGTCTTTAAGTAAGCATGGATATACGTGCTTTTTGTATTTAGCATCATTTCACTTGGCAGTGTCCACCAGATGTAAAACAGTAAATATTGATCGTATAAATGTTTATTCTTCCTCATTAAATTTTTGGTTTCTCATAAAAATGCTTTTTATTATTATTATTATTATTTATGAATGGAACTATACTTATGAATTGTAAAGATAGCCTTATAAACATTTCTCATCAGTTCAAAAAGGCACCAATACACATTGGCAACTTTTCATTGGGGATCAGAAGTTACTTAAAATCTATGAAGTTTGCCTATCTTCTATTGAGAGTGCGGAAAACAATGCTATGAAAAATATAAAAAGGAAAAGAAAAATCCATGAAATAACAGCTCAACATAATAAAATATTATTGTTTAATACTATTTATAACTTAGTTCCTTCCTTTGTATGATTATTCCTTCATCATTTATTGTGTGTTTTGTTTTGAATATTGATTTAATTTATATAGCCAAATGAACTTATTCTCTAGAATATAATTCTTGAAAATACCGGTAATTTTTTAATAGTATTTTTCTGTTAATTATAATATGAATTATTTTTCTTTATATGTTTTTTTAATTGCCTTTGGATTAACAATGATTCTTAATTAACTGTTGATATTGTTCACTGTAAATTGAGAGCTGGCTATGTTCTTATCTTATGTATATCCTATATTGGTCAAGCATTGTAAACTTTCTGTTTTAAAATCTTTCATTTTATTTTTATTTATTTATATTGTTTATAATAAATTTATTGCTTGTTTAATTTTGAATAGTTTTCTTTTGTATCTTACTATCTATCTACCTTTCTGAACTTAACACTGAAGAACACAACAGTGTTAAATATATCAAAAGTTCTGTGAAATTTAAATATTAGTTTTCACTGTGTTAGTTTAAAAATTATTTCAAGTATTTGCCTATCTACACTGGCAAGTGAACACACACACATAACACACTGATCAGTAATATAGTGTTCACTTTTGAATTTTTAATCATTAAATATACATGAGATTTGCATTTATTTATTTTTTCTTAAGTTCCTGTTATCACTGCACTGCTAATATACAATTTTAATACTTTTCTGTTAATGGCATATCAATCACCAAATTTGTACTGAAGTGCCAAATGTGGAAGCCTGTTGATTTCACATGAATAGCTATGCAATGTTCAATGTGAGTATTGCCAAGGTGGACAAATTTGGCATTGCACATGTTAAACATTATATATATTAGATATTATTGTTATCACAAATTAATTTTTTTCATGAAACTTTATATATCCTTAGGATTGCAACCATCTAGTTAAATTTTGTGTCAACACTAATGTTTGATGCTAAATAGTATACCATTAACAGAAAAGTACCCAGTTTTTAAATGTATGTATAGTTTCAAAAGTTAAATTTTTCTTTTTCATACTTTTAGGGATTACTGGTGTCTTTCTGGTTATCATAATGATTTTGATGTATGTTTTTGCTATACAGTTTGCTCGAAGACACGTTTTTAATGCTTTTTGGAAGACTCATAACTTATATCCTCTGCTATATATATTGATGATTCTTCATGGAATTGGTCACTTAATACAACCACCAATATTTTACTATTACTTCCTTGGCCCATGTGTGTTATTTGTTTTGGACAGGTTAATAAGTGTTAGTCGGAAGAAAGTAGAAATTTCCGTCTTAAAAGCAGAACTTTTACCATCAGGTATATTTTTTCCTAAAATTTCTACTATTATTTGTTTACTTAAAAAGGTCTAAAAATTTTAATAGATTAGTAAATCATATATCCATATACTGTAATTTATGATCTAAAAAATCATCATATACATTTCATTTTAATTATATAAAATTAGACAAAATAAAATTCATTTTTTATTTCTTAACAATATATGTATGTATTTTAAATGAAAATATAGCAAATTTAGACTTAGTTCACTTTATTTATGATATTTAAACTCTCCATCTTTTTCCCATAATAATCAATTCTAAAAATAATTAGTAAAATTTTACATTTTTTCATATATCTTGAATTTTTATATTTTCTACTTATCTCTTTTGATTATTTATTTCATGGCAGACTAATATAAAATACGAAAAATTCAAAATATATGCAAAATTATATTTTTTGTGTAGTCTGAATATTAAAAAATTTATATTTATAGGGTATTCCTAAACTCATGGCACATACATTAAGAGGGTGAGAGAACACAACAGGACAAGCACATATCACCACACAATCTATAATTGAATCTCAAATGGTAAGGTGCTAGAGAATGAAACGTCTTACATCATTAAATGATGAGAAACAGGTAGACAGAAATGGAATAAAAGAACACTATTGAAATTTAAAAAAAGGTTTATTGAGCAAACTGAAATTAAATCCTCATCACAGCAAATGCTTAAAATGACATCTGCCAACACTAATGCATGCTTGACACCATCGAAGGATTGACTGCCATACATTGGTAATCATGCTGCCTCTTGTGAAAACACAAGCTATGAATAACTGCCCAGGCGACTTGCAGCAGATATGGGCCAATCAGATGGTTGTGCATAATTTCAGTCCAAACATTTTCACAGAAAGCATACTGGAACAACCCTGTGCTCATGATGTGTGGATTATCAGTTGCCCAGATATGATAGTTATAGATATTTATATCCCCTGTTATCCCCATTCATCAGTGAATAACACATGTGCTGAAAAATCTGTATCCATGGCAGTGCAAAAAACTTGTGGCAAATGTGACAAGTGGCATATAATCTATATTTGACAGCTCTTGAACCCTATTCATACGGTAGGGGCGCATTTGTTATTCTGAAACTGCTTACCATTTGATGGGATACATCAGATCTGATGGACAACAGCATATAACAATTCTCATTGCATTGAGGGCACTTCCTCAAATGGTACAAAATGTTTCCCATTAGGGTTTGTATTCTTATGGTCTTTCCATGACCAGTATCCTACTTGCAACTCGAAAAGGATTCACTTTTGTGCAGTACCCTGGTACGATCACTGACAGGTTCCGGCATCTGGGATCTGTCTTATTGGACAACACTCTACATACAACCTTTGCATTGCTCTCTGCTGCCTTATACATGTATTGCACCTTGGCCTGTCTGATTTGTGTACCCATCCACCATCCACGTCCTCAGTTATCCATTACACAAATGATGGTCTCTACTGTGAACAGTGTTTTTATTGTATTTGCAGATTATCTAGTAACAGTTGCTATGGAAGTCAGACAAAAATTTAATTTTGCTATCATGTGAGTTCTTTAACCAATCACAGTAGATAGTATAAGTAAAAGCCAGTTAAACTGCATATCTTTAAAATTTGTGTACATAAAGCACTTTCAAACTTGAATTTTGATCATGGATTGTATGGTGATTTGTACTTGTGAAGTTGTGTTCTATCACCCCTAATGTATGTACCATGAGTTTAAGAACACCTGATATATATATATGTATAATAATTAATAAAATTGAAAGGAAAAGTCTGAACTTAAATGATAGATTATAATTTATTTCCTATGAAGGCCCTAACCAATTCTTTCTCAGTGAAAGTCGTCACCCAAAAGGAGCACATGTAAAATTAAAAAGAACTTCAAATATGTATACAAAACTGAAAATAACTGGGTAAAACTTTAATACTCCCTCTCGATTGCATCATTTCTAGATCATTCATTTTTGCATGGCCTACGCAATGCACGCTGATGACGTAATAATTGTAAACTGAAACTTTTGAACTCAAACCAAAACTTTTCTCTTTGTGTGCTTCCATCTTGCATAACTACGCACTTTAGCTTCGCTGTTTGCTAGGCTGTAATTTCACTGGCCTGCTTTCTATCTCAACAATATCAAAAATGTAAATTTTCTTGAACAGGCATGACTAGGGTGCCAAGTAATTGTGGCCACAAACGTTCACTGGAAAATAAAAATGGAATTAAAACTGCATCGACTGCCAATTTTTTTGATATTACGAAGTCAACATTATTAGCATACGACACAATCAGAATTTTTCCTCTAAAATTAGAAACTTTAGTGCAAACACAGTCACAGTCATCAATTAATGAATCATTTAATGAATATATATATATATATATATTCATTAAATGATTGGGGGTTGGTTTGTTCCCCTTGAAAAGTCAACCAAATTTCGATCAATGATGATAATTACTTGGTTTGTTAATTACTTTTGAATTTTGAAAAATTAGTAGAAACCCTTGGCAACTAAAATGGCCCTTACCTGGTTAGGCATGGCATCGAATTGGGCTTGGATGACAGAAATGGGCGATTCATTCCATGCTGCTTCATGTCTATGCCACACCTCATCAACTGTATTAGCTGGAGAAGGGTAGCAGGCGAGTCTGTAAGCTACCTATGACCAGATGTTTTCAATGAGTGACAGATCTGGAGAATGTGCAGGCCAGGGTAGCAGTCGAATACCCTGTGTATCAAGGAAGGTTAGAACACGAAGTGCAACATGTGGCCTTGCATTTATCTTGTTGAAAGATGGTGTTTCACAGGCTGCAAAGATAGGGCACAACCACTGGACATAAGATGTTAAAAAAGAACCAAACTGTGTTCAAATTACCGTCAATCTGAACGTGATCCATGAAATAGAGATGTGCATTATTTCCCTCTATTCAACCACCTTGTCACTTCCATATTTGTATGTCCAGCTTCTAATTGGTTAAGTATTTCTGCTTAAAAAATTCTTTAAAATGATACAAAATGATACTTTGACTTGATAAACACTGAAGCGAAAAGTATAATTTCAAAAAGTTTACAGGGAAACTTAATTTGTGTATATTACTTGCCACACCTTCAGATGATGCTGAGCCATTGTTTGCATTTTAGAAGCAAATTGATGAGACTAATTAGTAATAATTAGAGTTGTCTTTTGAAGATTCACCTTATGAAATATTTTATATACATAAATATAATTTTGAATTCCACTATAGTTGAAGTAGCTTATATTTAGCTTTATCTTATTAGAAGTAGCTAAATGTAAAATATCTCTGTTGAATAAAAAACCTTTGCATTGTATCAGAGTGTATTAAACATAAAGTATCTAAAACTGATTTTTTTTTAACTTAGGAGTAACGCACCTTGAATTTAAAAGACCTGATAATTTTGAATACAAAAGTGGACAGTGGGTACGAATAGCCTGTGTACCTTTGAATACAAATGAGTACCACCCATTTACATTGTCATCTGCTCCCCATGAAGAGAATCTGAGTTTACACATCCGAGCTGTTGGCCCATGGACAACAAATTTACGTAAAGTATATGATCCTAATAACTTGCAGCAGCATGCTTATCCAAAGGTAAGCAATTTAAATTATTTTAAATAAAATATATTTTATTATGTATTTATTAATTTTGGAGATCACATGATATATAGGGTTGTGTGTGTGTGAATGTATACATATATATACTATAAATATATATCACAAATGCTCTAATTATTAAGCTTATTATTATGCAAGTTTTTAAAAACAATACAATCTAATAAAATTTTCAAGTAAAAGTGAAATGAAGATTTTAAATTAATTCAACTACATATTTTATGTATATTGATTAAGAAACATATTTAAAATATGACCATATATTTCTGAAACATATTTATGCCAAGAAAATTTATTTAAAATTATTATTGGACTTCTTTTAGAAAAAAAATTAATTGAATGTAAAACACACAGTGTCTTTACACTAATGAAAGTGTATTTTTGCCCTTAATGCAGGCAGTATAATGCAGTATATGCATTTGCCAAAATCATTTTAACTGTTTTGATCAGTGGGTCTTTCCCTAGAGTGCTTAAGAACTTCTCATCATCTACTACACAAATTCTATTCATAGTTTTTAATCCTTTTGCACTGGCAAAACTAATCACCAATATGAAATATTATTTTGATGACTCTGATGGGCTGGTACTTTGTATGTTTACACAGCAACACAGTATGTAGAAAACCAAAACACTTTACTCATGTCAAGAACCTTTTTCTTGTGAACTGTTTAAGTGCATGGTGTCCACATTTCATATCATTACTGCATCTTTCATTAGCCAATGCAATATGTTTAGTAGATGCCAGATGTGACTGGTCACCTAATGTGAAGTTTTTAGTGAGTGCCAGATATAACTAGGTGCTAATTGTGAAAGGGTTAATTATAAATTCTGATATTTCAATTGTTAGAGAAGCTGTTTTCAAAGAATGTGGATGAGTAGGGATGAAAAACCTAGAAAAAAGTCACTGATTTTTTTAGAGTTTTTTTTTTTTTTTTTCTTTTAATTTCACAACACTACAGATGATTCGGCATCTTGACATTTGGAGATGCCAAATGTCCTTTCTTAAACTGGAATGGCATTTTCAAAATTCATAATTATCGTGATTTAGGAAAAACATGGATGAATATAAGTGATGAAATATAATAGATGAACAAGAATGAAATAATAATAGGATCAAAATTAATTAAAACTAATATAAGAAGGCACATGCAAATGAGACAATTGAGAATGGCTAATAAACTCTTTCCTATAGCCAGCATTTATCAGAAGCAAATTAAAACTTCACCATGAAATGTACAAGCCTCATTATTATAGCAATTGCCTCCATCTAGATGTCTGGTAAGAATAGTTATTATAAAATATAAGACAGAAAGTAGCCTTAAAGCCAATATTGAAATTGTTAAAAGCATAAAAACTGACACCTTTAAATAATCCCGTCCTTTAAACTTTTTAGTGTATGTTTTTATGAGCCTGTAAATTTAGTTTTGTATAAATTATATATATATATAAATTAAATATTTCATTACATGCTTTAATCTTGAAATTCTTCTTTCAGATATATCTTGATGGACCTTATGGTGAAGGCCATCAAGATTGGTTTCGTTATGATGTATCTGTACTAGTAGGTGGCGGTATTGGCATAACACCATTTGCTTCAATACTGAAAGATGTAGTTTTTAAATCCTCGCTAAAACATAAGATATTTTGCAAAAAGGTAAACTATAAATTTGAGAAATATGCATGTATTATTTATTATGTTTATATGTATCTTTTTTACATTTAGATGAGATTAAATGTTTTTAAGTAAATAAAAGGAAAAATTGTTTTCTTAAAATGAGCTAAAAAATGTTTTAATATTTCAAAATATATTTTATATATTCAAAGACATCATAATTTTTCAAACACATATAAGCTAAAATATAAACAGTATGAACTAAAAATTCTGCTATGTGTGGTTTATCATACAGACAACATCATGCGAATATAAATATAAACAGTTACATATGAAATATATATATATATTCAGCAAAAACAATGAAACTTATAAATATAAAATATAAAACATAATTATTGAAAACTCTGGTCTTTTTATACATATCCTTGGATATTTCCCCTTTTCATCCATTACATAACATGGGATGTAGATAATTGCAAACTAAAAGTCAAACAACCAATATCAAAATTGTATTAATAGCCAGTGAGAAAACTGCAAATTGAAACCTTCCTTTCCAATTAAATTTCCATCTTGGAACAAGATACATATGCTTCTCTTGGTTTTTGTCAACTTGCTGCAGCCTGCTTGCTCTCTTCAAAAATGAGAAAAGTTTTAAAATTGGTGCCTTTACTGTACCAGTTTATTTGTGTGGGCTTAAAAATATGTGTCATTGAGAAATAAAATGCAGTATTAAAAATTGGATATGATAGCAAGTTTCTTCTTCCTTTATGTTTCAACACATTCTAAATTATTACACATAAGGTCTACTGGAAATTTCTCTCCAATAATGTTATTTCAAGTTTCAAATTTGAGACATATATGGCTGTGTCTCTTTATCACTACATTTATAAGCATCTAGTCTTCTGAATTAACTGAAGCAAAAGTTATCAAGTGAGATTGTGATTGTATGAACATGGCTATCAATAAAGTTCACTTACAGCAGTGTATTTTATACGAATTCTAATAAGGAAGAGATGCTACAGAAGCGTGTCGAAATTTAGCGACAGTTTTGGAGGGAGATGCAGCTTTAGATTAAATGTGCAGGAGATGGTTTGAAAAATTTGAAGTAGGAGATTTTAATCATAATGATAAGCCACACTGTGGGAGATCTCATGTTTGATCAATGAGAGTATTATCAAGACCATGATAGAGCAAGAATATTTTTGACAACATTGAAGATCCCAGAAGAGCTTAATACAACTCAACAAACCATTTCAGACCATATTCAGAAAGTAGGATATTGGTCTATACATATTCCAGATGGGTGCATCATGAGTTAAGTGAGAAAAATTTGCAGATTGAGTCATCATATGCACATCTCTGCTTGCTCGGAACAAAAATAAACCCTTGGAGACCAGATGATAACTGGGATGTCTAAGAACCAATACATTATAAGCTTTTAAAATTTAAACAAAAGCTCAGTTCAGAAAGATACTGTCAGCAAATGAATAATTTAAACAAAGCAGTAAAAAAAAAGAGGCTGGCACTGTTCAATAAGAAGCACCACATACTTGCTGCTCTGGTAACTCTCAGGAAATCACAGAGCTAGGCCAGAAAGTTCTACTGCATCCACTATACTACCCAGACCTAGCACTTTCCAATTATGACTTGTTTCTCCCCTAGCAAAATTTTTTGAAGGGAGAAAAATTCAGAACTGAAGCAGATGTCAGCCAAGCACTACTTAAGTTCTTCACTTGTAAGGACAAGACATTTTTCAAAAATGGTTTCTATAAGTTACCATCATGCTAGCAAGAGGTCATAAAGTAATAACAGAAATTACATGATGCAATAAATATTATTAAAGGTATGAAAAATGTATTATTTTTCTTCACTTCCCAAACCGACAGATTTTCCAGTGGACCTTATATTTTTGTAATATGTAAGGTGTACTGGAAATCTGTAATTATATATCTGTAATTATAACATATATATATATATAAATTACAAAGCACTAAAAGTGAAAAAAATATAAAATTATTACAAAAGCTTATGCTTCTTCTTCAATTAAAAAAATTAATTTTCATACTTTAATTTTTCATGGGCTTATATATTAATTTTTGCAACCTGTAATTAATTTATTTATTATTCATGCTTACAGTTATTATCAATACCTAACCAAAAACCTTTTACAGATTTATTTCATATGGGTTACACGAAGTCAAAAGCAGTTTGAATGGATGACTGACATTTTACAAGAAGTGGAAGAAAGTGATAAAAATGGACTCGTGGACGTTCATATTTTTATAACTCAGTTTTATCAAAAGTTTGATTTACGTACGACAATGTTGGTAAGTACATTACTACTGCCTCAAAATGAATGCTATCAATGGTTAGATTATTTAAATATCGCAAAGCCATGGGGCTATCTGTTTAATGTTGTTTAATAAAGTATATTTATTCTCAACAATTGTCTAAATTTTCAACTGTTCAGTGAAATAAAAATTTGTAATTAAATCACATATGACAGCAGATTTATGAGATATGATTTATTTTTTAATTAAGACATACTTCTTAAAAACATCAAGATTAAACTTATTTATCCTTATTTCTTTCCTGATTTTCAAAGCAAATCAATCAAGAAGATATGAATATAAATAAAATTAAAATGGGATTTATAAATCAAAAGATCTGGTGCTAGAATAAACAAATGTTCTACTTATATTCCTGTTTAATCTTAGACTATACCTCTCGTTTATTTGATGCGTAAGGAGCCATATTTGTGTAGTATTTTATATAAACTCCTGGTGAGCTTTTTAAACCTAATCACAATTCCTTTAATTATTTTTTCGTAAGCTTCCACTTATTAGGATGATGTCTATATAATTAAAGAAAATAGAGAAATATACATTGTGTCTTGCCTGACCTTTATATTTGCAACTGTTGGTCATCTCTACATATAATAAAAGAAAGAGTCTATCTGTGTGTGTGTCTTTCATTTGCACTGCGCGTAAGCTAATAGACCCACAGCTACGAAATGTGGTACATAGGTGCATCTAGACAAGAGCCAGTGCACCTTGAAGAGATTTTTTCGAAATTCGAATTAAATTTTTTTAATTTTGTTTTGTGATGAAATCGCATCATTTTGAGATATAATGGGCTGTAGAAAAGTGAGATTTTACTCTACACACTCCATTTTCACATCGTCATGAAACGTAGGCACTTCGCTATTTTACGAATTTAAAAAAAAATTCATGTTTCAATAAATCGATCAAAGTGAGTTTAACACCTTTTCAACAGGATTTTTTTCTAAAAAGGTTTATTTTTAAAAATGTACAGTTTATTTTTCTTTGATTTTTGGACACGTTAAACTTTCATCCTTGCGACTGCTTTTTAAAAAAGAATTTGGAAAAATGATAATATTTTGTATTTTTAAAACACTTTTTAAATGAAGCTTCCGAGTACACTTCTTCCATCTTTAAAAATGTGATTTGGCAACAATTTTCCTTTCTTATGTTGTTGATAGATCTTTGATGAAATCGCATCATTTTGAATAGTTTCATTTTTTAGAAATATGAGTTTGGCAACAATTTTTCATCGTATTTCTTATGTCACTTTTTAAGAGAGTGGCATATTCATTGTCATCTTTTTAATATATAAATATTTTTATTGATTTTTTTTTTTTTTTTTTTTTTTTTTTTTTTTGATTAAAGTTGTCTGCAAAGAAAAATTCTGCGTGGAATTTTCTTGTTTTGAGTTGCTTTCATGTTATTTTTTGCTTATTTCACTGTTTGTAAGATATTGAAAAATTTTGCATGATTTTTTTCCTTCAACGGAAAGTTGGTTAATTGTTTTATTAGGATAATTAATATTTGTATTAAGGGAGCTTATTTCATTGTAATTTTTTCTCTGAAAATAAAAAAAATATCATTAATTATACTTTGCTTTTCAGAATTTTTGTTTTTTATATTCTTTATGTTATTTATTGTCATGTCACTGTTTTTAAGAATTGAGAAGTTTGAGTGGTTTTCTTTTAGGAAACAAAGTTCTTAACCTCCTTTATACTTTTTTTTTTTTTTTTTTTTTTGCAAAGGGAAGTTGGTTAATTTATTTATTAGGATAATTAATTTGTATTAAGGATATTGCTATTTCATTGTAGTTTTGTTATACGTAATAAACTTTTTTTTATGAAGTTGTTCTGCAGAGTAAAATTCTACGCAGTTTTTAAATTTAACGTTTGGTGTTTCCTTCAGCCATTTTTCCGGTACATTTAAAAGCCAGATGAAGGCTGGCAGCGAAGCTGCTAGTAAGACATGTATTTCAAATTACAAAAAATATTTTTAGTGACACAAATAGTCATATTTTGACATTTTTTAATTTTAAAAAATCCATTATGTATATCTAACATTTTATATATTTCTCCTGTCTCTATACTTAAATTTAGGAAAATATTATACATATTATAAAAAGATACAACTCCCGTACAATATGGATTGATTGAGATATCGAATTTTAAAGTTTGAGAAAAAAATTTTCAAAAGATCAGAGATCATATGCAAATTAAAGACAGCTATTTAAATTTGTGTGTAAATAAAATTAAAATATCAACTTAGGAAAAGATCTCTGATGTTAACAGATTAAGGGATATACAGACCATCAAGAAAAGTTTTTTTCAAAAGATCTAAATTTTTGTACAAAATACAAATGACAGTTCTCTAATTGAAAGAATCAGTCTATCTTCTTTTGAATAGAGAAATTAAAGTTGGAATGATATTTTTAATAACTAGTTATCAAAATATTAATTTCAGAAATTAATGAAAATTTCTCTATCAGCTACTGCAAGATCAAATATTAAAAACAAAACCAAAAAATTTGGTTTTAAATATCTTGCAATGTTCTATATTTGGTGGTATACAATAACAAAAACAGAAAATAAAGAATTCATGAAACTAAAAACACAGTTTATATTAATATTTAGAAGAGAATAAATAGACATTATAATTTTAAATAAAATCATAAAATAAGAAATTTCAAGCAGAGGTTAGCATAATATTTGTTCAAAATTTATGCGTTCATCTGATTTGTGCCTGTAAACGAAAGTATTCTAGAACTATCTGTAACATAGTTGATGTTGCACACACACTTGCAGCTAATATACCATTGAGCAGGTGTATGACTTATTGATTCAGTTTCAAAAAGGGCCATAGGAAAAATAATATATACATAGCAGATTTAAATATGCTGATCATGGCAGTCATTCCATTGAATTTCCATGTCCAATAACATTAATTCCAAAAGTATGTTCTAAAAAACATGCAAGATGTTATGAATTTATATCATGACTTTGTCCCATAATCCACACCAAACATTTATACTGTTGCAAGTTGCCCAGTTGAGGTAAGATAGCTTCCTGGCAAAGCAGGATTAGGCTTGTCAGAAAGTGGCAAGGAAAGGCAGGATTGCCAGATTTAGCATGAAATCACCCATTTGGTGACATTTATACCCTGCTTGTATGCGGAGAAATAGTATGTTCAGTTCAGTGCCGCCCAGACAGTATAGTGGTTAGGGGAGCTGACTTGCGATACCGAAAGGCGTGGGCTCGAATCCTGGAGAAGGCATAGATGTAAATTGTCTGTCCCCTCATAGGAGGTAATGGTGCCACCTGTTAGGTGTCTACACAATAAAATGGCCAGCACTTTCAGCCTTAGGAGTGGACAATGTTAAAAAAAAGCAAGTGCCCGTCGTTCGATTAAAAAAAAATTTGTTGAGCTCAGAGATTACCTTGAGAGTTACTGAACCAAGTCTGGAGCTGTACTTTAGTGCTTTACCGTGAAGTTATCCTCTCCTTTACAGCTCGAAGGCTGTGTTGTTGATTGTTTCAGTATGTTTATTATAGTTTTTCGATGACCGTAAACATATCTTTGGAACTCTTCTGTGTAATACTGTGAATATTTTTTTTTTATTCTTTATCAAATGTTACCATCAATTACTCCAAACCCAAGAACACATAGAAAACAATACTTTAGTACACTTGATATTTGTTGCAGTATGTAAAATGTAGATTTCGTATAGCTGAGAAATGATTATGTGTAAGTGTGCAATACCAGCTACAATAAACTGACAGTCAGCCGTCTAAAAAATTTCTTTTATAAATGATGGATTATCATCTAACTTATCTGAAATAAAATTACAAAAATCCCATTGGCAGACCATCTCCAGGCATAAACTCTTAAACCAAACATAGGTGATACAGATGTGCCTTATTTTCATATAAAATTTGCCCCACATAGGATTTAGATTTTCCAGATGCTTAACTGATTTCACTGATACTACAATAGGAATGTGCAAGAGCATACCCAAGAATTTCTTTATCACTTAACCATCTATTATAGCTCGTCTTTTTGATCAAGGACAATCTTGTACGATACCAATTTTTCTGAGACAGTTTGCTACATTTATTCTTTTTCATACATTTTTTTAGCCCACCAGCGGCCGAGCGGTAAAGTTGTTGAACACTGGTAGTTCGGTCTGAAGTTTGAATCCCGCGAACGGGTTGGCTGCATGGGCGGTTTCGTGGTTTTCCCCATGTGTAATGTGTATACGAGCCAGTTTCCCTTAGAAAGTCCTCCCTCCCCTTAGGCAGATAGGCCTAGTGGGCTTTGTCATAATCTCAATAAACCAAACCAAACCACATATATTTTTTATTTTTTGACATAGGACCAGATTATTAGAAAATTTAATTGAATATTGTTTTGCAGATATTTGTATATATTGATTACATGGTGGTTTTGGTTTGGTTTATTTATTATGACAAAGCACACCAGGGTGCCTGCCTAAAGGGAGAGATGCTTTTGTGGAGGACTTTCTAAGCGAAACTCTCTCATATCCATGATATACAAGCAGAAATCTATTATGTGGAGCTAATGTATAAGCATTTTGAAATACTGATTATTTCTGAACATTTTATCTAACAAACATTATAACAAGAGCAGTAATAGCATACATTTACTTAAAAGTACTAAGTGCACATCTTAGCAGCCACTCATTTTATACCTTCGATGAAAAAAACTTGGAGCAGAATTCATGTTGTAGGAAACAGTAATAGACTTCAATATTGGCACATAGAGTTGCTTGTGATATTATTTGCATAATTAGAAAATTGATAACTATTTCTTGTTTAACAAATTTTTGTATGACTATTATGTTATGTTATAAAACTGCATATTAACATATTTTTAAGATTTCAAATTAATACTTATAAATTAACTCATTTATTATGGATCCACTGTAATGAAAAAGCAGACTTAACAATATTAATGTTGTATAAAAATTCTTTGCACTAATATGTAAAATGTTGATGGCGTAGAAACATAGATTCATAATGAATAGGAAACTGGCAGCTGGGGCAGATTTAATCTTCATTTTTATTCCAGTAAGCATGTTATTGCTACAAACAACTTGGCACACTACTTGTGCCTACTTCAAAATGTTTACATTTTTGATAGCTTTGCAGCAAGAAGAGAGCAGCAGTTCAGCTAGGCCGAAATGTAGAAAGGAAGTGCAGTGTGTTCAGGATGAAATCTTAATTCCGAATAAGTTACTTTCAGTACTCAATGCATTTGATTGGATAATTGATACAGCTGTACAATTATCATTGGCTGTTTAAGTTTTAGTTCCATTTACATCATCAGCGTTATGCAAGAGTCATATGACATAGATTAATCTCGAAATGACACACTGCAGAAAAGGATTACTATTTTTAGAATAGAGAGAGGAATACCAAATAAAGCATTAAGGAGCTGTTGCTAATTTAAATTATAATTTACTTTTCACATATTTAAAATTTTTCTTATATTATATATATATATATATATAGATATCGTTTGATGCAGCCGATTGCAACAAAAAAGGGAGGTGCACATTGCACAACTACATGTTATAGCAGTCCTATATACAAAATTTCAACTTTCTAAGGCTACTCGTTTTTGAGTTATGCGAGATACATATGTATGTATGGATAGATGTCATAAAAAAATTTCTGAACTTATTTTTAAATCTATTTTATAATTAGTTTTGAAAAAAAGAAGTCCTTTATTCAATCGTATGCACATGTGCCATGCAAAAATATTGTGCAAATGGATTTAAGAGTGGTCAAAATAGATATTTTCATTCAAATACGATACCCAAAATGTTTTGCAACTACAGTACTTACTTCACTTCATATAAAATATGTAAAAATAACACTTATCTAGTTATCTTTGAAGAAACATCCCTTAGAATGCACACATTAGCTGCAGCATTTCTGGAAACATTAGTAAAATGTTTCTTTTAGCATATCATTAATTGGTCTTTCCATTGTTTTAGATAGTTTGAACTGTCTGAAAAACATTGACTCTGTAGAGCAGGGCTTCTCAATCTTTTGCATTCCATGCACCTCTTTCACTACTGTTAGACTATCATCCCCCTTCCTTTCCAAAACTCAAAAAATATATATCGACATTTATTTAAATTTAACTCAAATAAATGTCGATATATATTTTAATTCAAAAAACTAATTAAATTTAATTCAACACTCAACTAAATTTCATTAGAACATTCATTAGAACACTCAACTAAATTTAATTCAAAAAATGTATATTGACATTTATTTAAATTTAACTTTTTTTTTTATAAATTAACCAAGAAAAAATTTAGAAAATGTTGTTGAATACCAAAACTTGAACAAAAGTGGTGTTTTATACTCATAAATGGCAACTAAATACTTAACACTTAAATTCAAAGCCGATCAATGATAGATAAAAGGCTAATCGGACTCTTCCCCCCCCCAGTTGAGAAACCCTGCTATATAAAAGAGTACAGTGGTTATTTTAGCGCAAGAAGCTAATAAATAATGCGATCATAGCCAATATTTGCTTCCAATCAAAAAAGCAAAACAAAAAAAAAAACAAAAAAAAAAAAAAAAACACCTAAGCTTTTTTTTAAAACACCCTTTACTTAGAATACAGCATTAGTCAAAATTGTTTTGATTCTACTTCCATTTACACTATGGCATGAACTATACTATTCCAGATAGTGTTGTTAAGTCATACATTTCATCTATAGAGCGTAATTTAATGCTCTTTAACAGCTAAATTCAATTATTGAAAATTTCATGTGTATGAGACACGAATTTTCCACTTTTTTTTTTTTTTTTTTAAATAATAAAAGAAGGGTATTAATGGCTTGCTGCTTTATAATTTTGCATTGATCAGTCACAAAGCAGTTAGTTCTTTATGATGTACCAAGATCTCACTTAGCAAAAATAGTCTAAACATGTTAATAATTTTAGAAAATTCTCTGCTAATTTTTTACTTCTCGTAGAAATATTATCTATAGCAATTTTATTTCTTACTACCAATTATGATTGTTGTTCCTAAAATATAGGAATATTAGAAAGGCACTAATCTCCCTCCATTCTGACTCATAATTTCCACATTCAAAAATATTACTTAACTGGAAAAAATTAATTAGGATTTAATATTTATAGAACAAAATATTTTATTCACTTTTTGAAGCTATTTCAGTTTTTAAAAGTTTGGATCCTTAATTATTCTTTCTTAATAAAGCTATATTAGAATTCTCATTTTAACCACTATTTGATTTTACAGTTATTTGAAACCCTATTTTTTTTTAGTATATTTGTGAGCGCCATTTCCAGAGAGTTTGTGGCAGAAGTCTCTTTACTGGTCTTCGTGCAAAAACACATTTTGGCCGCCCTGATTTCGAAGTGTTTCTGAATTCTTTACGATTAGAACACTCTGAGGTAAGTTTTTAAAAATTATCTTCAGTCAGTTTATAATATACAATCAAAAGTCGTTGATCCGGATTCGTCGAAACTTCAGCGATTCCGGATTATTGATTTTTCCGGATTATAGGTCATCAGTTTAAATCTGGTAAGATGACATGCAGAAATTTCAAAATTAAAAATATGAAACCGTAATTTATGAAATAAAGAACCAATTATGATCTAAAGGGTATCAAAATTACAAAAAGAAAAAGCTTAATATTTATTTGTTTACTTTATTAAACATTTCTTTCAATGTAAGTTGTTTCGTTTCATGTGATAATACTTTCTCTTTAATTCTATTAAACAGACATGATTTCTTGTTTAGTTACAAAGTTCCGCTGTTCAAGTTCTATAATTGCTGTGTGGAGAATACCGATTAATTTGTCAATCGAAATTTTTTCGTTTTCAATAACCTCTGTGTTACTTTCTTCACTATTGGAAGTGAATTATAATGACGATGAACTTGATTTAAATCATATCAAAGACGGAGTACATCGAGATGAAATACTACATTTAGTAAGGAATTATAAGCCAAATAAAATAAAAACATCTGCCCTGAAGATAAGGATAGTGCTGACAGATCAACTTCCAATTCATTGCGCGCTGTGGCGTCTCCCCCCCCTCGGCAGAGCAGCGTGAAATTGATAAACAGATTTCGGAATGGTTAAGAAACAAAGGATATGCCTTTATCCATTTTTTGCAGCAATTCCACTTTTCGTTTAATGGACTTCGAAACATACTTTCGCTTTGTAGAACCTTTACATATTAGTAAATGTATATCGGAAATTCTATTTGACATAATCGAAAATTCAAGCTTACTTTTATAAAATTGCTCTAACAATCTGCAAAAAATAATAAGCCGGATCCAAATCGAAGATTAAGGAACAACGCAATCTGTAACATTAACTGAATTAGATAATTTTAGCTTAGCTTATACCATCCGTTATACATCAAACGTGCATGCGTAAACGTATTATGTGGATGCGCACATGCATATTCGCAGTCGTAAAGGTCTTACGCACACGCGTAAACGCGACGCATGAGCAGAAAGTTTGTAGCTTTGAGGTCTGGATTATAGGTGTCCGAATTAACGACTTTTGACTGTAATTATTCTATAAAATTAGTTTATGCAAATATTCCTTGAATGCTTTGCTATATTTAATTAACTAATCAATAATTTTTCATTTGAAAATTGATATCTGTGCTTGATAACACTAATTCAGAAAATATAAAATTTAACAATTTAAAAATTGCATCCTTTTGTATGAGTACAAAAATACAGCATTGATTGCCATAGCAATTTTCAGGATTTGGGTCTCAAAAGCTAGTGTTGTTTAATTTTACATAAAATTAAATAAAACAACATTATAATACTTAGTAATCACCAAACAAAACATCTTTTACAAAAGGAAATTTCTCGTGTGTCATTTTGTAGTTGACATATGCAACAGAATTCTTGGAAGAACCAACCCACAGGTTAATTTGCACTTAGACTTTGGAATAGCTAATTACCTTGCGCTTATACACAGTAGACTTAATAACTGCACTTTATACAGGGTGAATGAAAAAGATGGATCTGATTTATTGTGCTCTGTCAAAAATCTGTCTTCTTAATTTTTATACAAAATTATTAAAATGTTTTAATTGTAGAGATGAGCAACTTAGACTTGATATGTGCAGATTTACTCAGTGATAATGATACTATCATTTTTAAGCAATCAATTCACGTAACGACTGTGACCATACAGTATATTAATTCAGAAGTCAAACAACAAAAATCAGCGTTAATTTACAAAATTTTCACAGGACTAGTTTCGATGGTTTTACCGAACCATCATCTTCAGCTGCAAAACCGCAAATGAACAAGATAGGAAATATGTTTTAGATAAGATAAGAAAGCCTGGACAAGAATAAGCAAGTGGCGCCATCTGTTGGCGAAAACCAGAACTAAAACATAATTTCTCTAAAAGCCGAAGGCAAATTTGGATTGGAATTAGGATCGTTAACTAGAACAGAAAGATTTTTATGAATGTGAAATGCCTCTAGAAAATCCAGTTCTCCAATGGAAGATGTTTTTTGAATAATTTTGGCAGCAGAAAAATTGAAAGTGTGATTTTCGGACCAACAATTTTGAGCAACAGAAGACTTCTGTGTTTCCTTTTTTCTAACATATGCCTCATGTTCTTTGACGCGAAATTTTAAGGCTCTCTTAGTTTGGCCAATGTAAATTAAACCGCACTGGCAAGGAATCCTATAAATACCCCAGGAATTCATATCCGGAATGGGGTCCTTGAGTATAGAAGTTGGAATTTTATTGATGGGAAAGTAAACAACCCAAAAGTTAAATTTCTGCAAAATATGTGCAACTTTATAGTTAATTGATGGAAAGAAGGGAATGACAACAGAATTTTTATAATCTCCTAAAATAAGAGTGTGGCTTTTAGTGTGTTGAGATGAGAATTTTTTAAACTGCTTGATTAATAATGTTGGGTGAAAAGCCCCTGTCAATAGCTATTGCTTTTTAAATAATTTAGTTCTTCGTCAAGGGCTAGTTTGGAGGAGCAAACTTGAAGAGAACGGAAAACATAGGAATAAAATGAAGCTAACTTTTGTTTAGTCGGATGACATGATTTAAAGTGTGGTGGAAGGCAAACCGATGAAGGTTTACGGTAAAACTGTAGTACTGAAGTTGGATGTGTTACGTGTGACCAGAATGTCGAGAAACGGAAGAGAATTGCAAGTCTCAAGTTCAAAAGTGAACTGAATAGCAGGATCAATAGAATTCATTTTTGAAAGAACTCTATTTAAATCATCTTTATTACCTTCAAACAGGGTAAAAGTATCGTCTACGTAGCGGAACCATGCCGGGAAGTTTAAAGTTTCAAACAATTTTAATTCATAATAATGCATGTAGATATCAGCCAGGATGGGACTGAGGGGGCTTCCCATGGCTAATCCCTCAGTTTGCTTGTAATATTTATTTTGGAAAACAAAATGTGTTTGTTTCAAACAGAGTTGAGTGAGAGAAATTAGCTCATCAATTTCGATGCAAGAGAAATGAAATTCGCGAAGTCTGGTTTCTAGACATCTTAATGCACCCTCCACTGGGACATTGGTGAATAATGATTTTACATCAAAAGAAACCATGAGTAAATTACGAGGAGAAATGTTTTTAACCTTTTTTACAAACTCTATTGAATTTTTTATGGTGTAAATGTTATTGTCTAATAGATTGGAAAATCTAGAAAACTAAATATTTAGCTAATGGATACGAGGCAGTACCTAAATTTGATACAATAGGGCGGAAAGGAATACCACTTTTTATGAATTTTGGGAAGAGCATATAATCTGGCACAATTCGCAACAGATGGGATAAGCGAATGTTTTAAGTTGTTGCTGAAATGATTTGCGAAGATTTGATCGCAGTTTTTATTTTGGATAAGTCCGAAGGTGAAGGATCTTTAGGGATCGGATTATATGGTCCTTCGTTTAAGAGTTTAGTGACACCATCGATGTAAGTGTTCTTATCCATGACGACTATCTGGCCACCTTTGTCGGCCTTTGAAATGACAATATCCGGGTTAGAATGAATCTCGCGCATTGTAGCTCTTTCTCTCGCAGTTAGATTTGGTTTTAAAGGTTTATTATTGAATTTCACATTATGAGCGATAAGATGCCTAATCATTTCTTTCTGTGAATCTGAAACTTTACTGAACTTGAAAGCTTTTTCGATAGGAGCCAAAATCTTTGGAATCGAGGGTTTACAGGTTTGTGAGAAGTTAAAATTATATTTTAGAATTCTCTCTTGTTCTTCTGAAAGACTAACATTAGAAATATTAACTATTGGCTTGATTTTTACAATGGGAAGATTTTTTGAACTACTTGAACTGGAAGACTGTAAAAGAAGTTTTTCGAATTTAACTGCAAGTGTGTTTTTATGACGGTTAACTGCATTCTCCGTTCTAGACCAAGACTTTTGTTCAAGGGCAGTGAATTTTGGATATGTTTTAGCGAGTTCCAGATGAAGCTTATAGAGTTCATGTTCAATTTTGGACAATTGTTGACGTGTATCCCTTATCACGGACCGAAGTAAGGCAAGTTTGCAATTTAACAGAATTCTTGAAACGCGGACTCGAAGGTTTTGATTAGATTTGATTTGAATAAAAATTGGGGATCAATTTTTTACATTTACCATTTAAGTAAAAAGTCAAGATGATTCAGGAATTTTTTGCTGTTTAGGCGTAATTTAGTGAAACGATTAACGGATGAAGGCATGATAAACAATGCAGAAAATCAAACTACATTAACTGAGCAATAATAAAGTACACACAAAAATAGCAGAAGAAAAATCCCTCACTGAAATGAATAGAAAACAAAATGTTTGTAAGCAAAATGCATGAAATCAGACAAGCAAAGCACAATATCCAAATGTACAAAACATAAACATAACTTGAAAATTGCAAAAATGTACTCACCGAAAAACTCCTACAATCACAAAATGGCGGCCACACCACGTGCAAAAAAGAAAGCAAAATGTAAGCCTGTTTGGGGCTTCTATAATTAAGACACAATAAACAGCCGAATAAAATACTAATTCAGAAGTCAAACAACAAAAATCAGCGTTAATTTACAAAATTTTCACAGGACTAGTTTCGATGGTTTTACCGAACCATCATCTTCAGCTGCAAAACCGCAAATGAACAAGATAGGAAATAATGTTTAGATAAGATAAGAGATTCATTCTAACCCGGATATTGTCATTTCAAAGGCCGACAAAGGTGGCCAGATAGTCGTCATGGATAAGAACACTTACATCGATGGTGTCACTAAACTCTTAAACGAAGGACCATATAATCCGATCCCTAAAGATCCTTCACCTTCGGACTTATCCAAAATAAAAACTGCGATCAAATCTTCGCAAATCATTTCAAGCAACTTAAAACATTCGCTTATCCCATCTGTTGCGAATTGTGCCAGATTATATGCTCTTCCCAAAATTCATAAAAGTGGTATTCCTTTCCACCCTATTGTATCAAATTTAGGTACTGCCTCGTATCCATTAGCTAAATATTTAGTTTCTAGATTTTCCAATCTATTAGACAATAACATTTACACCATAAAAAATTCAATAGAGTTTGTAAAAAAGGTTAAAAAACATTTCTCCTCGTAATTTACTCATGGTTTCTTTTGATGTAAAATCATTATTCACCAATGTCCCAGTGGAGGGTGCATTAAGATGTCTAGAAAACCAGACTTCGCGAATTTCATTTCTCTTGCATCGAAATTGATGAGCTAATTTCTCTCACTCAACTCTGTTTGAAACAAACACATTTTGTTTTCCAAAATAAATATTACAAGCAAACTGAGGGATTAGCCATGGGAAGCCCCCTCAGTCCCATCCTGGCTGATATCTACATGCATAATTATGAATCAAAATTGTTTGAAACTTTAAACTTCCCGGCATGGTTCCGCTACGTAGACGATACTTTTACCCTGTTTGAAGGGTAATAAAGATGATTTAAATAGAGTTCTTTCAACAATGAATTCTATTGATCCTGCTATTCAGTTCACTTTTGAACTTGAGACTTGCAATTCTCTTCCGTTTCTCGACATTCTGGTCACACGTAACACATCCAACTTCAGTACTACAGTTTACCGTAAACCTTCATCGGTTTGCCTTCCACCACACTTTAAATCATGTCATCCGACTAAACAAAAGTTAGCTTCATTTTATTCCTATGTTTTCCGTGCTCTTCAAGTTTGCTCCTCCAAACTAGCCCTTGACGAAGAACTAAATTATTTAAAAGCAATAGCTATTGACAGGGGCTTTTCACCCAACATTATTAATCAAGCAGTTAAAAAATTCTCATCTCAACACACTAAAAGCCACACTCTTATTTTAGGAGATTATAAAAATTCTGTTGTCATTCCCTTCTTTCCATCAATTAGCTATAAAGTTGCACATATTTTGCAGAAATTTAACTTTCGGGTTGTTTACACTCCCATCAATAAAATTCCAACTTCTATACTCAAGGACCCCATTCCGGATATGAATTCCTGGGGTATTTATAGGATTCCTTGCCAGTGCGGTTTAATTTACATTGGCCAAACCTTAAAATTTCGCCTTAAAATTTCGCGACAAAGAACATGAGGCATATGTTAGAAAAAAGGAAACACAGAAGTCTTCTGTTGCTCAACATTGTTGGTCCGAAAATCACACTTTCAATTTTTCTGCTGCCAAAATTATTCAAAAAACATCTTCCATTGGAGAACTGGATTTTCTAGAGGCATTTCACATTCATAAAAATCTTTCTGTTCTAGTTAACGATCCTAATTCCAATCCAAATTTGCCTTCGGCTTTTAGAGAAATTATGTTTTAGTTCTGGTTTCGCCAACAGATGGCGCCACTTGCTTATTCTTGTCCAGGCTTTCTTATCTTATCTAAACATTATTTCCTATCTTGTTCATTTGCGGTTTTGCAGCTGAAGATGATGGTTCGGTAAAACCATCGAAACTAGTCCTGTGAAAATTTTGTAAATTAACGCTGATTTTTTGTTGTTTGACTTCTGAATTAGTATTTATTCGGCGTGTTATTGTGTCTTAATCATACAGTATATGTTGTATGTAGAATTAAAATTTTTAATAACTGTTCATCTCTGTTTCTGATGAGCAAGAGACACTATCACAAGCTAGAAAATTATCACTTGTTACCATTGCTACCAGACATGGATAGAAATAAAATATCATTTGATATTTACAGGGCACCAGAGAAGCTCACAAGGAAAAATTTTTATTTTCATGTCTAAATTGAAATTAAAATTATTCCTTTCTTATAAATTAAACCTTTCAAACACTGATAAGTGTTTGAAAAGTTCACTCTGTACTTTGGATACATTAATAACAGCACAAAAAAGGAAAATACAGAATCTATATTATCTCATTGTTAGTCCTCTTGGCAGATCACCCACCCACTCTGAATTTTTCTTATAGTTGGCAGTTAATATACATTGCTCTCCAAAAGTTAAAGAACAGCATGTTTTTAAAGGCTCACCATTACAAAAATGTCAGTAACATTTATATTCGCAGTTTATATGCATGATAGTAATGAAGTTTAGCAAAATATATACAAAAACAATAGCTATCACTTTCATTTTATTAGAAAGGAATACTTATGTAGGAGTTTGAGGAAAAAAGGCAAAAATTGTAAGTTTTGTTCAGGAGTGTTGATCTTTGATTGTTATTAGAAATTTCATTCACAATATCCAGGAGAAGTCGTTTGCCTGACTCATTGAGGTGGCGGACAATCGGATGGATGGAAATGGGAATGTCACAAGCTGATGCTGCTAGACGTCTCAATATCTCTCGTAGTGTGGTCCACCGACTATGGAATCAGTTTGAATCCGTGAATTCTGTGTCTAGAAAGCATGTTCATTACTGTGCCTCGGCTCATGGCAGATCATTTAGTGGCAACAGGAACCAGAATCTCAGTTACTACAGTGTGCTGACGCCTGCACAATACAGGTCTGTATGCAAGACAACCAGTTGTTCGTGTCCCCTTAACCTGGGACACAGAGGTGCCCTTTATGTTGGGCAAGAGAACACGTCTCCTGGTACATCAACAATGAGCATCTGTTCTCTTCACAGTCGAGTCCAGGTTCACATTGGAGAGTGATTCAGGTCATCAGCTGAACTGGAGGGAACAACGCATACGACCAATCCCACATTGTGAAAAGGCAGTTACAGTGGTGGTGGAATAATGGTTTGGGCTGGGATCTCTCTCGGTGATCACACTGTTCCATGGAGGAACTTTGACCAGTGTGAGATATTGAAATGAGATCCTTGACCAATACGTCCGCCCATATGCCGCTGCTATTGCTCCTGGATTTCTTCTGATGGACAATAATGCGTAACTGCACCGAGCTCAGGTTGCTGAAGAATATCTTGAGGATCACAGTATGGAACGGACAGAATGGCCAGCTCAATTCCCAGACCTGAGTCCGATAGAGCATCTTCGGGACTACCTTGGGAGACGGATTGCTGTTTTAAGTCCTTCCCCAAAGTCGTTAGATGAGCTTGAACAAAGATATTAATTACTCAGTGCCTGGTTGTTGCTTCCCATTTCATTGACCAACAACTTAACTGACAGCATGGAACGTCACTGCCAGCAATGTATTGCAGCTAGGGATGGACACATTTCTTATTAGAACCGTTTTTGTAATGTTACCACCACATTTTTCCTCAAAAAACTGTGATATACTGTTTGTCCAAGACTGGATTTCTCTACCAAGAGTGCAATTTTTTGTTGTAATTAATGTTTGTGTTGAATTTTAGAAACATTATGTTGCATTCATTAGAGAACTGTTTAGTGAACACATTCTCTAAATTTCTGGTTTCTATGTTGCTTCATTCTCAAATTAGACACAAAAAACATGCTGTTCCTTAGCTTTTGGCAGGCAGTGTATTAAATATATTTATTAACATAAAGCCATTTAAATATTAAGGTAATAAAATAAATATTAAATTCTTTCTCCAAGAAGACTGCTTTTCATATTGTATATATGTATAATACTGCATTATGGAAAATTGCCTGGTTTTTGATAAATTTACTAACAAGGTTATAAATTACAGATTTCAAAATGTGTAAGAGTGCTTTATTGTATAGTTTTATATTTATAAGAAAGAAACAATCACTTAATAAACTGTAGATTTTAGATATTTTGGATTTGGAATTTAAAAATATCTACCTTCAATGTGCCACACTCAAATTGTCAGTAAACCAAATAGAAATTTTATCTAGAATATACAGTTTTCAGATGAATGCTTATATTCAATTCAATTTAATATTTAGTATTCAAAATATCAATTCTAATGCTGAATAAGTAACTAGTTTTCGTAACTATGGTCATTTTCAATAAAATGTTTTATAACGTATGTTTCATCATTTAACTAAGTAAATTTTATTTCCAACATTATAATATTTACTTTAAAATATATACTTAATTTTACTGTTCATACCTGATGATTCAATATAAAAAAAACTTTTCTGTGCTCTTTCAGGTGAGTAAGATAGGTGTATTTAGTTGTGGCCCACCACCTATGACTCGAAGTGTCGAGCTCTCATGTGAAGAATTAAATAAACATGAAGGTGCAATATTTGTACATCATTATGAAAATTTCTAAGAATTAGTGAAGGAAATGTTTGCTAATTTAAAATAATTAACAGAAATGCTAATCTGAAATGTTTTTATTAAAAGGGTTTTGTAGTTGTTACAATTTTGAAAGTAAATTTTTTACTTTTCTTACATGAAAATGTGAGTGGTATTTCTGTGGCATTTAAAAGTGTATTTCATCTTGTAACTGTTATAAATAAATGCACAATGACCATTATGATACAAAACATCATAAAAAAATTTATTCCAAAAACATACATGTCAAATTTGCACCGAAGCAGATTTCTAATTTGCTTAACAGTAATCTTAAATACAAGTACAACGAAACATAAAATTAATAACCAAAAGTTTAAGTTTCTTCAAATAAATTACAATAATTTTCAATATGATACACTGATAAAAAAACAAAGAAAGTCATTTTCTCTTTATTGTACATTTTCTTAAATAAGATATTTATCAGTTTTCTATAGTCATCCCTTGATTCATAAATGTATTCTCAATTTCATAAAATTAAATACAACAAGTTTTTCAACAGAGACAATTACAAAAGCATATTACCCAACATTCAGGCATGTCTTAACTTCAAACATACTTTAAGTATGTTAGCCATTACAAACTTTTACTTCTTTCCAAAATGGCACACATTTATAATTTTGTTTTACAGATAGAGTATCCCTTGCCAAAAAGGCTCGAGACGAGAATGTTTCATATTCTGGATTTATGCATGTTATTGCATTATATTTCACAAAATCTTTTTCGCATACATATATCAGCTTACAAAAATAGCATTAATTTTATACAATGATTTTTAATAATGCAAATTAAACATTCAGAAAGCAAAACTGTAATCTCAAATATTCATGTGATAAACCTGTTTGATCTAACTAAAACATACATAATTGAAATGTGAATCTCTTTTCCTTGAGAATGTTTGCAATTCATTACATGAGGTCAAACATACAACTTCTTTTGGGGCATTATAGCACCTGACAGGTTTCATAAAGCACTTTTGATTAGAGATGTCCAATTTATACAACATGTTAGCTAGGAAACTAATATAAGAGCAAATCGAAATGAACTCGAATACCTGAAAAGTTTCCCATGCCAACCTTATTAAAACTTTACACACTGTGCCCAGGCATAGTATCCAGGAGATGCCAAATTGATATTATAAAATTCTAGAAATGCTTTCTATTCTTGGCAAACAGAAAAGGGATGGTCTGGGCACTGAAAACTTCAGCTACTATTCTGCATAAAATGAATTTTAATTTAAAAAAAAATCTTCTGAAAAATATATTTCATTTGACTCTCGAAGCATTCAACTATAATATACTTTTCTAAAATATTTTAAATCCAACAAAGCAGATTTTACTAAGTACAACTATAATATAGCTGTTTGTATTTAAGTACATCCTCAAACAACATAGTTGATCGATCTATTTCGCAAAACAGCTGAATTTATTCAGCACATTCATTAACTAAATGAACTATTTTTAGAACACACGTGAAATGTCGCTCTTGCATATAAGAATTACCTATTTTGTTTTTTACAATTATTTTATGCATTTTAATAATCTAAATGCTTAGAATTATTTTTAAATAATTAAAGAAAATTATAAAGCAAAATATATTACAAAACAAGATAATAGTTATTAACACAATAATTGACAAAATTAATAATTTGGTTTCTCATATTTAACTAGTGGTGCCACGTTTAAAATAAAGATTCCATATTAACCACCTGAGTAGCATGAATGCTTTTATCTTCTCGTGAGATTTTTTTGTCACTGTCATAGTAGCTTATAATTTTACTTTCTTTAATAATGTAAAATATCATCTTAATAAATGGAAGTTTATGAAAACAGAGACAAATTTTGTAAACATACAAATTAAATTAATAAATGCTGTTTAAATACAGGTCCTCATGAGCAGATCTAAAAAGCTGTGCCACTCAAAGGGTTAAATTAACAAATGCTTACCTGAAAAGGAAATTTTAAAGACTTATGTGTATAAACCATGGGATGACTATATCTTTCCCTTTTTTCAGGATTTTTATGAAATTATTTTCACTGGTATTTTGAATACATTCTATTCAATTAAAAGTAGTGAAGCATAGAAAACATTGTAAAAAATGTTTAATAGCACTTTTTTGTTAGCAAAAATGTATACAGATAGAAACTGAAGAAATTCACATGGAATATGCACTTACAATCAATACGAGGAACGTGGAATGGGTATTAGTGCACTTCAGTTCTTAAGTTACACATGGTACATTTTCAAATATATCACCTTTTAATCACAAGTTTCAAGGTCTTAAATTTGAAAAAGTGCATTTCAAATATTTATTTGAGCTGGAATGCGATGCATACCACTGGTTCTATCATTAAAGACAATATAATAAATGTACTTCAAAATAAAACTATTTTTTATATTTAGATATATATGACATTTTAGTTTAAAAATAGAATCTACAGAATTATAACCCTGCTATATATTATCAAACTGCTTTTGTTAGTTAAAATACAATAAAGACATCACTGATATAATAAACCATTTCACTTTTAAGACATTTTATGTAAAGTAGTGTAAAACATAATATATCACTATAGTGAAAACTTGGACATAACTTTTGATGTAAATTACATTTACTGTAATGGAAGAGGATTTTTAATAATAGCTGCATACTTATCACAATGCAAACAAACTGAAATACTTAAAGATGATTTAAAAATTCATTCAGACTCATAAAATATAAGACTACTTACTTATGATTTCTATGTGTGACCGTTTATCTGTATTTTTTTTTAATCATGAGAAGAAAAAATGATAATCTTACATTGTTTTAACATTAAAAATGTATTTTTATACTTTAGAAATTATAAATTGAAAAGTAAAATTCCCAGGATTAATTCAGGATCAGAAGGAGAAACTAACTTATTATAATTATCATATTTACTCATATGTTCCCCCTTCCTGCTCATTTTGGTATTTAGACCTGCCAACAATCAGCAGCCTACATACCTTTATTTTTTTCTTATAATATTTTTTGCATATGATTTAGAAACTCCTGATTTATGGTAAAAATATAAAATATATTCACAAATAGGAAAATATTTCGTTTAAGTGTAAGGACTATAACTGAAATTGTCAAGTCTTTTAAATTATATCTTTAGAAATAGTATGTACTTCTCCCTTTCTTGTTTATAGTTTAAAATTAGTAGGTAAAGAGAGGTATGAGTAAATGTGGTAATACATATTTAGAACATCTTGAAAGCCAATTTCAAGAGCAAATTTACTATTCCACGAACGTGATAAATGACATTTCGAAATTTATATTGCTTTGAATAGAAAAACAGTTATAAATGAGCATACTGTAAATATATGATGTGCCTCTTTATAACCATATATTTTGAACAAGTATTCAAAAGAATAGTATTTCTTAATTAAACCCAGTTTTCTTTAAAGCTTTATAAAAATGGTTAACAAAAAAACAATTTTAAACAAAATATTTAAAGCTATTAATATAAAACATGAAAACATATATTACATTTTAAATATATAAAGCAACAGTTTACATTTACCTTCATATAAATATATAATTTAAGAAATAAGCATTATTATTTCTTGGCTAAATTTCTTTCAACCGAGTTTTAGGTCTTGTGAATTGAAGACTAGCTAACATGACTTACGACAGTCAGGATGCAGATTTTTATAATCTTTGATTTTTGTCATACAGTAAAAAAATAATGAAAAACTTAATATTCATGCTTTGTGAGCAATCGATGACATTATGAAAATGTAATTTTAATGAGTATAAGATGAAAACTGGTACAAATATGTTATGGAATACAAAGAATCACAGTTCATTTTAATTTATGAAAAGAAATCTGTCTAATCGTTTAAACAGAATGGTGGAACATTTAATTGTGACCAAAATATTTAAACTCTCTTCAAGTTCCACCTGTATTTCATCAAACAAACAAATCAAATAATTCTTAAATGACTATACAGCACATAAATAAGAAAGTTATATAGCAAAACACTTTTAAAAAATAATTTACTATTGAAAGTGACTATTAGTTCTTTTGTTTCCATCTTAATATAAATTATCTGTGAAACATGATCTTTTTAAATATAAAAACATAGCACTTGGCATTCTTAAATACTTCAGAATCTTGATATCCTAGTAAAACTTTAGGAGTCAATTCACTAATTCCATGGATATAAACTGTTTAAGTCTCTCAATGTACTGTCCATAAAGTTCTACATCATTATGGCCTGCCCCTTCAATCCAAAGAGGCTCTACGGCTCTAGGGCAATTTTCATAAATAGCCAAACCATGGGAAAAATCAATCACATCATCTTCAGTCCCATGAATCACAAGTACAGGAGAGGTAACTTTTGGTACTTTATCAATGCTAGGAAGAAAAATGATTTTTCATTAATCTACAATATTTTAATATTTTTTAATCACATACAGTAGTGCCTCTGCATCTGCAGTTAATACGTTGCAAGATTTACCAAATATAATAGCAAACACTACTTACAACGTGTGTCTAACTACATAAATGTTCATAAACTACAAACAATAAGATGCCACTAATAGTGAAATTATGATAAAGCATATAACATGCTGTTTTGTATATTTACAGTACTTTCTTTCATTAATTACAGATATAAAATAATTCTGAGATTTTAAACTATCCTTGAAACTGAAAAAAACATGGCACTATGTGGCAATGATGTTCAGTTTAAATTACACCTTGGGGCTGCAAACTGCACAATATATGTACTTTTCTTTAATCATCTATATACCATGAAAAGTTTGGTGGTACCTTTTAATTTCTGATAGGTGTTGTAGTCACACTTAAAACGACATCACATGGATTGCTCTCTTCATTCATATGAACTCTGGTAAGTAAGACAAGTAATAACAAGCTATATCACACTGTCACTTATTCCTTTACTCTCATATGCATTTCATTGTTTGCACCTGGATGCCAATCTCGGAATCAAATTTCACATTAAAAATGGTGGCCATTTTTAATCTCCATTAGCATCTCCTGAGGAAAAAAAGAAAGGAGGCAAAGAAAGAGACAACAAGAATGTTGTGGGAAAAAAGCTCATCTTTGTAGAAGAACCTGGAACAGTTCCTAGGACTGCAAATGCTTGTAAGAACCACAGTCACAGTATATTTCTGATGATGTATTGACAGATAACAGATAGCCAACAAGTACCATATTATATTTAATAAATATTTAGGTATATGTCTTGGAATGCTAAACAATACTTGTTTCATGAACCTCATGGTATTAATTTCAATTAATCCTTTGTGTGAAGTTAGTCTTAAGATGGTTAAAAGCATAAAAATATCCACAAGTTTAGAAATTTGGTCAATAGTTATAAATTTTATAAACTTAACCACAGGTCACTAGTTTGCCACCATGGCCATATATGTATTATCATATAGTTCAAAGCATGTGTGGCCAAAAGCTGGCCCACGCTGCCAAATGCGACCTTTTTATTTGCTTAATCCATGAAATTCTACACAATGACCTTTTCATTTCTTTGCTACTGAATTTGAAATAAAAATACATGCAAAATTGTAAATTTATTACAATGTGTGATTCATTAATGATGCCCTTTATTTGCTTCATGTTCCTTGAAATTTATGTGTACATTTTGTATTTCATTGGTTGACCACATACAGGGTTGTCATGAACCAGTGTTCACCCTCTGGAGCTTATTTAGACTAAAAAATATGAAATCAAATCCATAAAATGGTATTCAAGTTATATATATATATATATAATATTTTTTAATTTCTATCAGTCAGAAGTGTTTTTTCCCCATAGCATCAAGGCAGTGAGACTGCAAAAGATTGTTACACAAAGACTACTGCAACCTGCAACAGTCCTGCTCATATGATGCACTAAAAAAGACCTTATTTGCCCGTCCATGGTTTAAAGGGAAGGTAGAATATAAAAAATTGCTTTTATATCAAAATATTGAAATATTAGGTCCAAACTGTGAAACTTACGCAGATAGTCAGGACTATAATGAAAGCACAGCATGCATCTTAATCTATTTCTTTAATTTTCAAAAAAAATTTCAGCATAATAAATTGCAGATACTGAACCAGCATATACAGAGGCATAATGGTAATCCCTTCAAAATTACTGCGAAAACTAAACACATGATACTTACGTATTTAATTTCAAGTACTATTCAATAAAATGCTTTATATCAATAAACAATATATATATATATATATATATGTAAGATATAATTATAGCCTCACCATTCACCCACGATGTGTTGGAATAACTGAAAACATTACATATATATAACTCTTAATTTTGAAACATTTCTTTTAAATCTTTAACCACAAACAACATTATAGTGGTTTGCTGATTAACCCTCTGGGGTTTAGCCTTGAAATTTCAAAGTTTCTCAAAATGTCATGAATAAGTGATATTTTCTTGATTTTAATTAAAAAATGACTCTTCATTTTGTACCTTGATTCCTTTTCTTCCAATATACATCCAAATTGAAATCAGATACATTAAAAGCTAGCAGAAATTTTCATGTATAATGAATCCTTCTGTACGGAATTTTCCAGCCTTAACGCTGAGAGGGTTAAGTCAACCGGTTACTTTAACAGACTGAAATAAAATTAAAATTTTCTTACTCTCACTGGATTCTAAAACTTAACATACTTACACCTGTATCTTTTTTACTAATAATTACAACTCATATTTGAAGACATATTTTTTCGTCCAAAAAAATAAGTACATTCAACAGAATATTTTTACGAGTTACAAATTTATGCAATATCTAAATATAAGTACAATCAAAATTGAAGACCATCAGACTTTAACTATCTAAATGGTCCCCATCTTTAGCTACACTACATTACTCAATACTCAGTTTGTTTCTTACAGACATGTTTCATTACACAAATGAAAGTTTAATTTGTTGGTCTATTATCAACTTAACACTACTTGTAATACAAGTTAATGTTCATTACAGTGGTACTTATGTATTACCCCATGGACTGTGAAACTATTGCCAAGCAGCTTAATTTAGTGCCAATTATGAATAAATGTGTCATAACAATGTACTCAACAGCAGCAGTTTTGTCTGATGTAACCCCGAGTGAACAGAACTGCAAGCATTGGATTATTTTCGAAGTTATGGCAACTTGGCATAAAAAAAAAAGGTGTGTATCAAAGGACACAACATGGCCAACAAAACAGTAACAGATTATAACAATTACCTGCAGGAAGTTTACACTCATAGCAACATGCAGCTTCTCATAAAATCAGAAGATCTAACAAAATAGTAAAAACTGATTAATGCCTTTTTATGAAGTACAAAAAAGCAGCAGCTCAAATACCAATTGATTATTAACTGAAAAGGCATTAGTCCCTTCAAAATTCCACAAAAATGTTTGGTACAATATTGGCATGAGCTCTGCTAATTTTCACTAGTTAATGAAATAGTATGAAAATTTTCCCCCAGCGGCCATCTGTTTTTCATAGCGTGTAATGTATAACTTTCGTAGCGTGTATGTATTTTGCTGAGTAGACGTCGAAGCCTTCTCTCACTGTAGAAGAACGCTTGAGGCGCGTTACAGCTGCTCTGTGGTAGTTTCACTTGAACGCGCTAGATGCGTTGCAGACGACGAAGAGGTTAAAATACTTTCATGAACAGTGAAGGTTTTTTTTGCCCCTTTCTACAGTTTAGGTGTACTTCTTTCAAAATATGTATTAACTTTTTTTTTTTTTGGAAAGGCAGCTTAACAGAATATAGAATTAATTACACTGATTTCCAAAAATTGCATAACTCTTCTAAAAATAAGCTAATCCATGTAACATTTTAATATATTGTCAAATAAGAGTTGAGTAACATTGCAGTATGCAAATTAGTGGCACTGCAATCAGAATGTGACATCTGCAAGGAGCATAAAATTGAATGTTTGAGAGAAAAGCCTATAAATTTCACTGTGATATGAAATATGGGATAGCAATTTGTAACAATGACCTCCAGGCATCATTTGACAAAAGAACTATGGTGTAGAGCTATTAGAATACTACAGAAAGGAAAAAGTCAGACAGAAGTAGCCAGATAGCTAAATGCGAATCTTTCTGTGGTTCATGGGCTGGTAACAATTTTTAATCACACATTTGGCATCCAAGAGGTTCAGACACAGAAAGCCAACCATTACGACAAACATCAATGACTGATATTTGTCATTACGTGCATAAAGGAATAGAACCGCATCTCCTACTCAACTCAGATTTCTTGCTACAGCCACCAGAAGGTTGATGTCAACGTCAACTGTGCATAGAGGGCTTCACGAAAGAAATCTATGCAAAGCGACCAAGCCATTTGCACACCACATTACAGAAGGGAGTGTTTGAGGCGGGCATGTTAACATATTTACTGGACAACTGATCAGTGCGGGAATGTTCTCTTTATGGGCAAGTCCAGATTTAGCCTCCAAAGTGATTGTAGGTGCTATTTGATTTGGCGAGGACACGGAACCCAATATTTTTACAGATGCTTTACATATGGATATATTTTTTATGTAAGAATATTTTTAGTGGCTTCATTTTATTTTATTTTACTTCAGTCTTCATTTATCATGATCATTTTTTTACTGGACATTCATGATAATTTTGGATACTTGCTTCCCCCCCCCAAACACACATTTCTCAGGAAAAATCTAATTTATTAGCTTTCAGAAATTGATTTTATATCAATTAAAATATGAAAGACTACCTAGCTGCACTTTACTTACTCTTTCCATTATACCTCAGATCATTCCAGATTTTATTTGTTCACAATCTTTCCAGCTCCACTGCAGAAATAATATCAAATCTGAATATTGCCTAAGTGTCTTTTGCCCTCAAATTTGTGTATTCTGTGCATATTTTATCAATAAAATTTTCTATGTTTGAATATTTAAAATGAAATGACACATTAAAATTATTTACAAATTATTAAATTATTAAAATTATTTCAAATGAAATTACATAAATGAAATTTTTAAAACTATAGTTTCCTAAACCTCAAGCCATATTTTATTTTTTATTTATTGGATTGATTTATTGATCTTATGATCAACTGTAGTTTTCACTCAGATTTCAAGTCACTATACACTTTATTCTTAAGATCAAACGCAGTTTTGATTCAGATTTGATCAGATATCAGTCATTATACATTTTCTATCTCCGACCTTGAAATTAAATAAACATAGCATACAGCTTAAGCAAAATTTAAAATGGAATTAAAAAAGAAATTAATAGCAATAACAGTGCTGAAATTCCTCATTTCTACTCAGCAAGACTACAATAATGCCCCTATATTCCAGATAATATGTTTCAAGACTTAAACTATCAAGTTGAATAAT